TTCAAGTTCAAGACTCCCCCCCCCTCTCAAAAAACAATGGACACCACTCATTCCCAGCAGTGGTTTTAACAAGAACCCTTTAAAAACGGCGAAGTGCATTTGTGAACGTGCACAGCTGGGGCGTTCTCTTCAAAGGCTGGTAGCTTGAATGAGCCTCTTTATTAAAACCTTGAAGCCAGGAAGCGTGTAACATTTTCTTAACGTCTGGTCAGATTTGCGAATCGCCTCTTTTAGAACTTCAAGGGTTTATTTCCTTGTAGGCTGGTAAAGTGACGATGATTTTCTTGAGTAAAAGCTCTAGGCGGTGCCATTCAACTCATCGTTATGCAGCAGCCCAGAAAATCTGGCCTTTGTATAAGTCAAGATACTGTACACCGAGCCTGTTACAGTAAAAACATGTTTTCTCGTGTCCTTTCTTTAATGGGAGGAGTCCCTAGTATGAGACAGCAGCTGACTACTAATGTTTTGTAGTGTATTAATGATCGCATTTTAAATTGGCAGTTTTTCCTCATGCGAAATCTCAGTTATTCGTTTTCCATGCATTTAAAGTTTTATGACGTTTCACCATGAACTTTTTGTTTCCTTTTTTATTTTTTTATTTGTTATTCCATTGTTATGCATCTGTGGGACAGCCAAGGGACAGGGCATGCTTTACTTTGCAGAGTTTCTTTATTTACTCCGACAACACAGAGGAGACACCTGTGAAGTAAATCGGCCTGACATACAGTAGCCTGACATACAGGAGCTGCGCTGTTCAGCAGTTAAAGTTTGACCTGCAGATCCTCCTGCATTGAGTTTCCATCTGTCTAAGATCGGCTGCTTGCAGCCAGTGATAGTGCACGCTTGCCTGTGCAGGATTCCCAGTCGATGTGTGGTCGTTCCCTGCTGGAGGTCTTCCAGCTTCCCGAAGAGCAGTGTGCAGGTTCCTGGTGGTGTCTGTGTAGAGGGGTACAGTGAGGAGCCATATTCTGGTTGTGGGGCAAAGATCGTTTTGGCTCTTCCCATTACTAATGCTCGCGCTGTCTTCCTGTTGCTGGTTATCGGTTTGTGAGCTCTTCCTCTCGCCAGAAGTCAAAACATCATCACCCCCCCGTCTTTTTTTTCTCCCCAAGTTTGCTGAACCGGTTTTTCTTGGTCTGGCTAGGGGATTAGTTTGTTTTTAACGCGGCCTTTCACGAGGAGGTGGCCTTATCGGTCTCCCACTCCAGTGTCTCCTCAGCTCGTGGACAGCAGGCAGAGCCGATGGGATGGTCACTTGCAATCCCGTTTGAGCTGTGACGAAGGAAGCGCTTTGACTGTGGTTGGTGACCACAGTGTCGCAGTATTCTGTCTTCTGATTTCTCTCTCTGTGGTTTAGAAAGTGAAATGACTTCTGGACGTGTCAGATGTTTTAAGATGACAGCTTGAGATCAGGCAGTAAGCAGAAGGAGATGGCTTAAGTAACTCGATGCTAGTTTTCAACTATTTTTCGGATTTTGGTTTTAATCTTGCTCTCAACTTACTCGTTTCATAGAACGAAACCTGAATTTCATAGAACGGCTGTCATCTGGTTCCAAGCGCTTGTGTCAATTAAAATGTTGTCCTGGAAACACGTTAGTTTTCAGTGTCATATAATCCGCTTTTTCTTCCTGGAACCATCCAAGCCAACACTGCTCTTGGGCACAGATTATTAATTCTAAAAAACAAAAAAGTTGCCGATCAGCAGTTTGGTGCACTAATCTTGCTGTAACCTCGATCTAAATAGGATTTAACCCTCCTGTTCTGTGACAGCTTGTGAAGGGAGAGACATTCAGCTGCAGAGGAGATAGCCGAGCTCTCTAAACAGCACTGAATATGTGTGTTTTTTGTCATGTTTTATCAATAGGTCCCTGTTGGCAATATTAAATGCCTTTGTTTGATAAGAATCACAGCATATTTTATTAATCTTAATTAAATGTGGATGCATTTTTGTTCATCGAGGAATAATAGAAAGGACTGTGCAAAACAGATTAATCTTTGCCCCAGGGAGCTTGTATAAACCTATTAAAGTGTGTGTACTTTTCTTAAAATTCTGAGATCCTTCTCGTTAATTTCCTCATTTTCGTCCTGCCCTTATTCCTGTCTCTAAGCAAGGTTTGTTGTTTGGATTGTTCTCGGGAATTTTTCGGTGTCGACCGTACAGTGCGTCCCATGTAACTTCCCCTGTCTTATCACAGACTTCCTTTATCTCCCAGAAACATATGCCTATTCCACAAGGTGCATAGAGGAGTAGCAGCGTAACTTGGACATCACAGGAAATGGCCTTTTGAATCTATTGGCAGGGTTTTACCACTATTTTCCAATGGCATGCTGAACTGGTTGTCGTCTGAATTGGAGCCCAAACTTGATGCTTGCTGTGGCTTGCATCTAAAGGGCTACCAAGAAGCTGCATTGGATTTCTGGTTGTCAGATGATGTCAAATTAAATTTGCCTTTTCGATTCTCAGCAAGACGATAAAAATAAATAAATAAACGTAGCCTCTCTCTGTAGTTGTTCACATTGTAAGCTAGATTTCTCTCTACTGAACCTTAGCAGAAATCACTGAGTGTTGGACAAATTGTTAATGGTCCTAATCTGTGTAGAAAATTGGGTTTTATATCATTTCAGATTTACCATTGTAAATTGCTTATTTTCTTATTGGCTAGAGTGACTCACAATAATACGAGAATGACGTTGCAGGAACAAAAAGCATAGAATCTGATGCTATAGGGACTGTCAAAGAGCCCAAAACAGCCAGTTGAGCTGCGATATTTAGGACCAGACACATGAGCAATTCTGGGTCTTGAAAACTAAAGACTTTCAGCCTGACCCACACTGGACTGCTCTGCCTCCTCTGAGCTCCGTAGTTCTGCATATTGTGAAAGGGTGCTTTCAAGTTCCTTATTCATAAGGATATACCGATGACTCATCCTCTGTCTCTGCTATTACACCTCCAGTGACTCAGCAGTTTCCTACAGTGCCAGTTCCCAGTTGCTCCGTCAGCTTGCAACTCTCTGGGGCGTCCCCGTGGTCGAGAGGGTTGGGCTTGGACAACCAGTTCTTTTTTTTGTAAAGAAATGAACAAGCTGGGGGAGAATTTTAATTGCTACTCATGGTGTGCAACACGAGCGAGGAGTCCCCCCTACGCTTTAATTGCACTAAGTGTCATTTTGTTTCTCATTTGTGAAGGTGCCGGTTTAACAGGAGTTACAATAAACTCATTGCAAGCTTCTGCATTTTTCTATTTACACAGTCAGTGTGGGCAGTTATGTAGAAACCATATTATAAAATAAGAACCCAATTGTGCTTCAGAATAATACCTTGTGCCCTGTCTGGCTGCCTCAGCATTTGTTTCACATTTGCCAGAGAGGCGTCATTGTGTTGAAGGGTTTCTGTGCTGTTCTTTCCTGTGGTGTGACAGGCGGGCCTCCAATCCACAGAGCTCCAGGCAGGAGCTTTGCCTGTCAGCCCCAGGAGGGTATTTGCAAAAGTGCTCCCACTGAAGTAATTTCGCTTGATCTGCTTAGTCCTTCTCACTTTCAGGAGCTCTAAAGGCTTGTTAATGGCTCTCTTGAGCAAACTGAGTTTCCCTTACTGTGCCAGGTTTGCTGAAATGTTGTTCATACAAATGCGTCTAATGAAATCTGCTGATCTAGATAAATGCTTTCTCTCTGTATATGCGTGTGTGTATAAAATCAGTATTCGGGTTGTTTTTTTTTATGAATTTGAGTGAATGTTTTAAGTTTGTTTTATGAAAAATCAGGGGAATATGGATATGCAGTTTAAACTCTAGTTTTATATAGAAAAAAATGCTTAACTGTAATGAACAGCTGGCTGAACTCTGCATGAGCAAGGTGTGGATTTCTGCATTCAAGTCTCTAGTAGCTGGGTTGTTGAGATTGAAGAAATTAACTCTCTACTTCTTGCCTGTTTATAAAGAGACAGTGTTGACCTCTATATCTGAAACCACTTGGCTTAAACACAAAACTCAGGAGGAGAGATACTTTGATTTTATTAAAATATTGAAATGATTGAATATTAAAGAGGTGGGTTAACATTTTGAATTGGCTAAGAATCATTTCAGAGCGTTCAGCTGTATTCCTGTCCTCTTCTCCCGTCAGGATTGGAACCGGACCTGGTACACTCCCAACCCGGACCTGACCCAGTGCTTCCAGAACACGGTGCTGGTGTGGGTCCCCTGTGTCTACCTCTGGGTCTGCGCGCCCTTCTACTGCCTCTACCTGCACTGCAACGACCGCGGGTACATTCGCATGTCACACCTCAACAAAGCCAAGACGGTGAGTTCAGCGGCCGGCAGGAAACCCTCCGCACGAGCCCAGCGCTTAACGGCCAGTAGGCCGCAACGCTAGGTCTGTGGGAGTGCTGCAGCACGTCTCGGGTTTCTTACACACCCCTGCGCTGACAGGCTGAAGGAGAAGGGCTTTTTTAGGCTTGTGCAGAGATCTCTAAGGGCACAGGAACCTGGTTCAAGTGTCCTTCAGAATGGAGAGTGGAGCACATGTGCAGGCATGAGGAAGCGCGTTTAAAACCAAGAGCAGGAGGTGCTCTTCACGCAGAGGGCGGTGTGGAGCGAGCTCGCCAGCCGCGTTCTCGGGGCCGATGACCCTGGTTTCGGTCAAGAAACGGCTGGGTGAGATTCTTATATCCATTAGCTGCCCGCTGTCAAATGGGCTCGATGGGTTGGATTGTTCTTGCGAGGTAGGACAGTGTCTTCTTACACTTTGCAAGGCAATCGCAGATTACGCTCTTGCCAAGTGTAGCCCGTGTATGTTCACTGAAGCACAGTGTAGCATTGATGGGAGTGCTCTGAAGTGCAAGAAGTAATTGAGAAGAGGTTGAACAATGGTCAGGTGCTTATTTTCTCTACTTGCTTATTTATTGGCATTGACTATGACAAGGTGTGCCCCTTCTTCACAAAAGCTTATTCTCCCAAGAGCAGTTCAAGGACCAGTTGACGAAATCTGAGCCTCAGTACTTTAGGCTTCAGTCTGAAAGGTAATGTACGTGGCGAGCAAGCCCATCGGTTTAAACAATGGGGTTTATTTGTTTCCCCTTCTCTTTCAGGTCACGGGGTTCTTGCTGTGGATTGTCTGCTGGGCAGATGTTTTCTATTCTTTCTGGGAAAGAAGCCAGGGTCAGGCGAAGGCGCCTGTTTATTTTGTCAGCCCCACTCTGCTTGGCATTACAATGGTGAGCTCCCCATGCGCGATTGTCCGGATCAGGGGGGCAGCAGAGTGGGCATCTGCGATAGCTGGGTACAATGATTCCACTGTTTGAATTCTGCATCTCTTTGTGGACCTGCTTTTGTGACTGAAAATGTCGCTGTAGCTCATTCTCCCCTCTGTCGTGCCTTTATGTTCAGTATGAGGTAAATCAGAGTTAGTCCTCGTTCTGCTCAAAGCAAATAGGTGTCTTTGCTTTTCTTCCATGTCCATTGCAAGTCCTCAGCTTTTCCTGTTGCCCTGCAGTGTGTGTGCCTCTGCACTGTGGGCGAGCGCGGTGCAGTGTTGTGACTGCGTGTCTCTCCTCCTTCTCTCTGGGGGCGACGGGCAGCTGCTGGCCACGTTTCTGGTGCAGTACGAGCGGATGAAGGGGGTCCAGTCCTCAGGGGTGCTGCTGAATTTCTGGGTGATCGCGGTCATCTGCGGCACCATCAGCTTCCGGTCCAAGATCCTGCAGGCGTTCAGCGAGGTGAGGTGGTCAGGTGCCCTCTGCTGTCAGAGGCAGACAAGGTGGGGGGTGACTCCCATGTACTGCAAATACATACATTTCTCTACCTGTGTAAGAGAAGAGCGATAGGCAGCTGTGCTGGTACAGACTCAAGTCACAGAGAAGACTAATCCAGTATTGGAGAAAAACTGGTGTTTTGGTTGTGTCTTGTGTATATTGGCCTCTCTTTGAAGACTTGGGACCCTGCCTGTTCAGTGTGCAAGTGCTAGCCTTTGGTAGGGAAGGCAGACAGAACGGGTTAATCCGAGACAAAATTGAGATAATCAAAATGAGATCAATTCTAGGATAACCCTTGCTGGCATTCCGTTCCCCTGTCCCCATATTTTAAGAATGTGCCTTTTGTTTTTGAGCTTTTTTTTTTTATGACGCAAGTCTGCGACAAACGCTGCTGCTCTAAGGTCTGCTAACGTCATGGGGTGTGAGGAACAAATTGTGTTCCAGTTCTCCCTGGCCTGTGCCTGTTCCCTTTTGCGAGCACTGACCTTGGTCTCCCTGTGCAGACGTCTGGCGTGGACCTGTTCCGATACTTCACCTTCTTCACCTACTTCGCCCTGCTGCTCATCCAGCTGTTCCTGTCCTGTCTGTCGGACCAGCCCCCCCTCTTCTCCCAGGCAGTCAAAGACTCGGTGAGTGTCTGCTTTCTCTCTGCCCGCGCGCTGGCGCTGGCGATGCCACACTTTTCCACCTGGTTGAAAACGCGGTGTTGTGCAGTAAACCTCCCCAGCTAACTATCACAAGACGTACCTTCCTCGGCTGCTTCCAAGGTTACATTAGTAATTCATTGTCAGGTTGTTGCAGCACATTTACAGTTGGGGTTTCAACAGAAGTTAATTTAGTTGAATTTCATGAAGCAGTGCTGACTGCATTACTCTACGGCCCATGACTGAGGGGCATGCAGATAGACCTGTGCACAAGACCTGCCTTGCACTGGTTCACATTAAACTGATCCGATTGCTGTTATGTTGTAGCCAAATTCAAATTAATTCAAGTAAGAGAAAGTAAGGGTCTTTTCCCTGTTCAGGCATCCAACAGGATTAGTGAAATCCTGTTGTCACATGGCCCTTGTGAATCATTTTGAAATTCAGACCACGGAAGCGCTATGATATTTTACAGTATCGTGGTAAACGCATGAGGTGTTTCACGCTGATGGCTGGGACGGATTCAGCAGTGGGTCTTCCTCCGTTTCTTTCAGAATCCCTGTCCGGAGCTGGGTGCTTCCTTTCTCTCCAGGATCACTTTCTGGTGGATCACTGGGTAAGGCTTCAAAACCTCGGCTCGGGATTCTGCGTGCGGGCCCTGTCCCGTTATCTTATGTCGTGCTCCCGGGAAGAGTTGAGGGATGGTTTTGCCTGTAATTACTTTTGATGTTACTATTGACGTGAGAGGCTTCATCGTGTCTCCCAGTGCTGTTACCCGAATGCTCACTAAGGTTCCAACCGCAGGTCTCGGCGAGTCCAAATAGATCAAGCCAGCCTGAGCCGGGAGCCAGTTATTTACCTGATCCGAAGTAAAGCGATTAGTAGACCCTGCCCAGACTGATGGAGAAGGAAAGGCTTGTTTTCCCCAGCACGACTTCAGTATTAAAGCCACAGCATCACCTGGAGTCTGGACACCTGTCCGAGCTGAAGGGGCAGCGCCTAGCTCCCTAATCAGCCTATAGACACGGCTGCCAGGTTAAACCAGTTTTATTTTGTGTAAAAGGTAAAAACAATACATTCAATAAACGCACTGAACGAAGTACCTTCTCGTGAACGCGTCGTTTTTACTGCAGACTTAACTGGAGTGCTGGTGGATTTGAGACTTTGCATAACAAATCACCGGATTGCCCAAACTGGCCATTTTCAATCGTCCTCTGCGCAAGTTCTCGGCGAGGCAGGCTTTCGAACCTTCGAAAAGGGTTGGAAGCCTCGTGCAGATGCTGAGGCACTGGGTCCTTATTTCTTGGGCACTGTAGCTGTAATAGGAGCCAGGGTTCGAGTCCTTCTTAGTCCACAGGACCCACGAATGCTTCCCAGTCTGCAGTCCTGGCATTTTCCTGCCTCTTGACCTGAAGTTTGTATTCGTGTTCACCTCCTTCATAAACGAATCCATCACCCTGACTTTTCAAACCGGTTTAAAACGGACACTATGTGAGCTGCAGACCAGGAAAGAGCTCAGATCAGAAGTTCTTGTCCAGTAACAAAGCTGGAAAAGACCGGACCACTGTATGGCTATTTTAGGTCCAGACTGGGTCTCGGGTCCGGGTGGAACTGTGAAGACACCTCTAACAGGAGTGTTATGTCACAATTGCACTGCAGAGACCAGGAGCTTTTATAGATCTCTTTGAACACTTGGCAACTGGAATCATTGAAAAGTGTCAAAGTGGTCCATATAAGCCAAAAAGCATAAGCCCCATAATTATGGCCTTTGAAAGCACAGATGGAATGGTAACTTGTGGATACGATGACCATGAAGGACAGGTGTTTAGCGCTGGGTTAGACTGCGTTGGTCGAATCCCTGCGTCGTGTGCCCCATTCTTTCTCCTCCTCTCTGCGCAGGCTCATGGTTCAGGGCTACAGGCGGCCCCTGGAGGAGCGAGACCTGTGGTCCCTCAATGAGGAGGACAAGTCCCAGAAGGTGGTGCCACAGCTGGTGCACCGCTGGAACAGCCAGCGTGCCAAGGTCAAAAGGTCAGTGCCCTCTTGCTGGGAGGGGGCAGGGGAGGACGTTTTCATTGGTGAGAGAGGCATGGAGAACTTGATAATGGCATCTGGATATAGCTGTAAGATCTTCCCAGTAGCCCACCGAATGCAGTCCTCTGCAAAAAATATTTAACGTTCTGTGCAGATGCTGGGTTAGAAATCTTGTGTCCCCGCTGTCTTCTGGTCTTAATTGCAGGGTCATGGACCCTGCCTCGGATCTCCCTGCCTCCCCTGGGTGGAGGGGGGGCGAGGGCAGAGGGGAGTTACTGCCGGCCTGCGTCTGGCCACTGGACACACCAGTCTGCATTATCACCTCCCATGCACTGGCATCTTAGTAGCCATCCTGAAACCCTCCATTGCAGCCTCTCTCCAGTACTGTCCCTTTCATTCTGACCCTAAAACACGCCGTTCCTCTCTGTCCCTGGAAGAGCAGGCTCCCACAGAAGTAACATTCTTCTGCCTAGTAAGGAGGTTTTATAGTGCTGTGCTTCCAAATCCCTCTGTGAAATTACACGTCATATTGACCTCTGCAGATTCTATTCTTCTGCTTACCCTCGTCACCCCAGTGCTTTGCCATTTATTTGTTGTGTAAGTGTCAAGCATGTCAGCTTTGACTCCTGAGTTTCCTGCAGCGTGCAGCCGCCCCCTTAGGCTCTCCTCATGTCTTTGCGTGTTCCCCGCGCCCCTCGCAGGCCCGCGGCCAAGACGATGTACTCCCCGAAGCGCTCTGCGCGGGCTGCTGCTGAGGAGAAGAAGGACGGGGCGCCGGCGGAGGAGTCGGAGGTCCTGATCGTCCAGGAGCCCCGCAAAGCCCAGGAGCCGTCTCTCGCCATGGCCCTGTGCCTGGCCTTCGGGCCCCACTTCCTGGTCTCCTTCGTCTACAAGATCATCCACGACGTCCTCATGTTCGTCGGCCCCGAGATCCTCAAGTGAGCTTCTGGGGCCCCGGCCCTTGCCTGTATATCCCGGGACAGGGAACCTTGCTGGGACGGTTTTCCACTGGATTGTGCTTAGAATTGCAGCACTGGAAAATGTCAGGAAGGACCCTGCTAGCCTGCAATACGTTAACACTTTGCGGCCTGAAATTTTGTTGTATGCAAAAAAATGCTCTCTTATTGTAGGCTAATATTATAATATTGCAGGCTATTAAGAGTTTGTCCAGTATGCATGTCGATTCTGCCGTTTAGTGCTTACTGAAGATCTTCCTTTCCTCCTCTTTGAGCCCCAGATTCAGAGTTCATAGACTTTTTTTTTTTTCTGCTGGAGGGACTCTCAAGTCTCTACAGGCCGAAAAGGGTTAATCCAGCCCAGATTCAAACATAACATCGCTTCGTTTGAAGGGGACGTGTCTGAGCTTTTCTGAACCGGCCCAGCTTTTTTTAAGAATTAAAAAAAAAAATTGCTGATGGTGAGCACGCCATTGTGTCCCCACCCCCCCCCCCCCCACCGAAAGTTGGGTGGCTGGGGGATTGATTTGTCTAAATTTCGGCATGGATTCACCATGTTTTTAGATGCGTCTTTGCGAGGGGCAGAAGCCCAGCAGCAGATGTCGGATGACGGCTGCTGTTCGATGTCGAACATGACTGGGGTCGAGAGTGCATGGGCGATGGCATGATACCAGTGTTTTGTGGGAGTAACGGCATGAGCTGGATACGCCAGGCACGGATTTCCTCCCCCCGCCGCTACCTTGGCAACGGGCTAACTCAGAATTCTCTCTTTGCTGCTACCCCGATAGGCTGCTGATCCTCTTTGTGAACGACCCCAGCGCCCCCTCCTGGCAGGGCTACTCCTACACAGCCCTGCTGTTCGTTTGCGCCTGCTTGCAGACTCTCATCCTGCAGCAGTACTTCCACGTGTGCTTTGTGACGGGCATGAGGCTGCGCACCGCCATCGTGGGCGCCGTGTACAGGAAGGTGAGGTGTGTCAGGCCGCACGTGCTTTTGGCGGCGGCAGGGGAAGTTGATCTTCGTGCTGGGATGGGCTGGGCCCGGCCTTGCGTTCCCGTCGCGCGCGTCTAGGGCCGTGCTGCGCTTCAGAACGACGGGCGCGGTTTCCGTCGTCTCAATCCTGCTGGTTTCTCGTGACCCGCACGGGGTTCACCGTCGCAGTGTGTTTCAGGCCCTGGTGATCACCAACGCGGCGAGGTGCACCTCCATGGTGGGCGAGATCGTCAATCTGATGTCCGTGGACGCCCAGCGCTTCATGGACCTGGTCACCTACATCAACATGATCTGGTCCGCCCCCCTGCAGGTCATCCTGGCTCTGTACTTCCTCTGGCAGGTATGGCGGGGGGGCTTCGCCATCGGTAACATGGTGCACCAGCCCTGCGAAATGAGCTGTGATTTGTGTACCTGCGTAGATAATATCAGAACAGTTCACACGAGCCATGAATATCAAGGGCAATTTATTTAAATCAAATGGATTAGCAGTGTGTTAAAGTTCCTAACACGGTCTAAGTTGTGAATGCTAAGTTAAAATGAATGCTAAGTCAGTAGTTTTGATTTATGTCTATTGTACCAGACCATGTTAAAATAAATGTCCCTGTTTTTCTCCTTTCTGATTAAAATTACTTCTGCTTTTGAGACTCCTGCAGTAGCTCTGTAGTGTCCTGCTTGGCAGTTTATTAATGGCAGGATCTCTGTGCAGAACCTGGGCCCCTCTGTGCTGGCTGGAGTAGCAGTGATGGTCTTCATGGTGCCGGTGAATGCCGTCATTGCAATGAAGAGCAAAACCTACCAGGTGAAACTCGGAGACAGTCGGACGAGTCTTTTCTTGCCCCCCGTGTGGCGGATTTCCTGTTTAATTGGTAGGCTGTTGAGCAGGATGTTTGTTCTCCTCCTGGCGAAATGGCGAGTAAGCATCAGTTTTGGATGCAGATCACAGTGAAGAGGCGCCTCTCTGTTGGAGAAGCTCCAGAATGCGCTGGACAGGAGCTTCTGAAAGACACAGTAGCTGTGATGTGTTGCCAGCAGGAACAAAGGTTTCTCGTAGAAGTTCAGTCATGGGTGGAAGGCGAGAACTGGCAATCCACACAGCTTCCTCAAGATTGTTAGTATTTGCTAATTGGAGGCATGTCGACAATATAAAGGGCTCCTCATTAGGGCTGAGGTTCGTGCCAAGGTCTTTCCTGTTAGTTGTTATTGGGGGGGTTTTCGGAAGGTTTGTTTTTTTCATCGAACTTTCAGAAATGTCTAAGTATCAGCTAAAAAGAGAGCCTGCAGAGCCGGAATGGCACAGCTTAGCTATTGCTAGGTGGGTCATTTTGTACTGTAGCAAGAAGACAGAGGCTGCTGTGGGTTTTCTGGTGATGGCCAGGCAGGCGCCCTGAGACTGTGTGCACTGTGTGAGCAGGTGGCCCAGATGAAGAGCAAGGACAGCCGGATCAAGCTGATGAACGAGGTCCTGAATGGGATCAAAGTGCTGAAGCTGTACGCCTGGGAGCTGGCCTTCCAGGGCAAGGTGCTGGGGATCCGGGAGACCGAGCTCCGCGTGCTGAAGAAGAGCGCCTACCTGGCCGCCGTGTCCACCTTCACCTGGGTCTGCACCCCCTTCCTGGTGCGTGTCCTCGGAGCGGGGCCCCCGCGCTCGCGTCGCCGGCACGGGCACCAGTGAGACTCAGATTTGTCTGTCCGCCTGCAGGTGGCGCTGTCGACCTTCGCGGTGTACGTGCTGGTGGACGAGAGGAACGTGCTGGATGCGCAGAAGGCCTTTGTGTCGCTGGCGCTCTTCAATATCCTGCGCTTCCCCCTCAACATGCTGCCCATGCTCATCAGCAGCATGGTCCAGGTCAGTCGCCGGGCCCCTGGCTCGCTGTGGCGGTCAGCCCCCATCCCTCTGCCCCCCCCCCCGTCAGAAGTCAAAGGAAATAAAACCTGGGAGAACACAATTTCTTCATTCACACCTAAAAGCTCTCGGCCATCCAGTTAGTGAAGGGTTCTGGGTTGTTTATTCCTCTGTTGTGGGTTCTGGCGTATTGCTTGTGTTTCACTTTCATGTTCCTGTGCGAAGTGATTTTTTTTGTCCCGTGCTGTTGGGTTTCACCTGTCGGCCCGTTCCTCTCCCCGCAGGCCAGCGTGTCCCTCAAGCGCCTGCGAGTCTTCCTGTCCCACGAGGAGCTGGATGAGGACGGTGTGAACCGCAAAATCACCGCTGGCTGTGAGTGACCCTTGCCACGCCACACTGGGGGAAGAGGGGGGTTAAGATTGGGAGATGGGAGACTTGTGGTAGCAAGGATACTTTGTTGGGATTTCGCAGTCATACTTGGGGTCATTCCAGGAAAGACAAAAGCAGAAACCACTGGCCTCTCCCATGCTTCAGCGATGTAGCGTTGTGTGCTATGTAGGAAAGCCCCGGGCTGTGTGAGCAAGCTGCCAAGAGCTGAAGGCCTGGCAGGAACTCGGTCCTTGGGGCTGTGGGATGTTGGCAGGCATGTTTGAGTGGTGCGATAACGAAATGTTCCCTTTTTTTGCAGCCTCTGATAGCATCTCCATTGTTGATGGCGTGTTCAGCTGGTCCAAAAAAGATACGCCCACTCTAAAGAGGTAGTGGACTCATTCTCCTCCTTCACTGCCAATGCAAAAACTCTCTGTGAGAGATTGCAAGTCGGAGAACATTGCTTTCTTTAAGAACCTGGTTCATATTTTCATAGGTGTCAAGTGGTATAATAGAGATCTCCAGAATTTAGTTTCTCCTGGGTTAGTTATTTCAAAGAGAAGAGCCTTGATTTTAGGCCCAGGATTGCCCTGCAGAGCATGTGGGAAAAGTCATGTTCTGATATTCCTGCTCCTTTCCCCATCTCTGCGCGTCTCTGCAGGATCAGCGTGCGGATCCCCGAGGGGGCGCTGGTGGCCGTCGTGGGCCATGTGGGCTCAGGGAAGTCCTCGCTGCTGTCAGCCCTGCTGGGCGAGATGGAGAAACAGGAGGGCCAGGTTTCTGTCAAGGTAAACCTCTAGTGCTGTCCTGTACCGGATCCCCTCCGTACTCCTTTGCATCAATTTCGTGGGGATTCATTTCATTTCTTTTCACTATTTATTAAAATTGGATGGTGCATTTGAGTTTTTGAATGATTTGTTCGATTTTTATGCTGTTGATATGCGCTGTTCTTCGTGTCTGTTTATTTTTTTTATATTCTCCGCCTACCAACAGTGATTGTTTTTGTTCCCCGTTTGAGGAAAGCTTAAAATCTCACGCTCCGTGTCCTTGCGCGCAGGGCTCAGTGGCCTACGTGCCCCAGCAGGCCTGGATCCAGAATGCCACTCTGCGGGAGAACGTTATATTTGGGCGCGAGAAGAAGGAGGCCTGGTACCAGCGCGTAGTGGAAGCCTGTGCCCTCTTGCCCGACCTGGAGATCCTGCCTGCAGGGGACGCCACTGAGATCGGAGAGAAGGTAGCTCACTCCCCAGCGCCCACACCTACTCCTCGTCCGTCCTCCGCCTGCCAGGAGACGCTCCGACTGTCTTGACCTTTGTCTTGCAGGCCATCGTCTTTCCTAGTGCAGTGTAGCTTTGAGCACCACAACGACTGGATTCCTTAGAGTAGGGTTTCCCAATCCTGGTCTCGAAGGCTGGTTTGTGGCTTTAAGTTGAGCACTGCACTTAATGACTTAATCTCTTAAATCGGCTCATTACTGGCTCCCAGACGTTCAGGTACTGGTCTATCTTGAAAAGTCTGCAGAGGGACCAGGATCAAGACTGGAGACACCCCCCCTGCATTAGAGTCTTCATAGGAATTGCGAGGCTTGGCTGGCCAGGGAGAAGCTCATGGCGGACCAGGGCCCTGCTCTCCCCTGTCCCCGGCTGTGGCCGATCCGCGGCTGACGTGGCGCTCTCTGCCTTCCCAGGGCGTGAACCTGTCTGGCGGCCAGAAGCTGCGCGTCAGCCTGGCGAGGGCGGTGTACTGCGACTGTGCCGTCTACCTGCTGGACGACCCCCTGTCCGCCGTGGACGCTCACGTGGGCAAGCACATCTTCGAGAAGGTCATCGGGCCGCGGGGCGTGCTGCGGGGCCGGGTGAGGCGCCGGCGCCGTACGGAGAGGGCACAGAGAGAGGGGGGCTGAGCAGCTGGTGTGTTCCGGGTGATGGAGAACGTTTGGAAGCTTTAGTCCAGTAAAGCATGCAAAGACCAGAGGGGCTGGCCTCTTGGAGTGGTGGGACTTGACAGTTATCTCTGCTTGCCAGGTATAACTCCCGCTTGCTCCTGGATGCTCCTTCCTGTAGTTCTTTAATCCATATAGTCTTGATGTAATTTTTCGAATGGATTCATCCGCTGTCGCAATAAAGCCCAATCCCATCGTTCAGGGTCCCATCCACCCCAGCCACAAGCTGTTCTCCCCCCTGCACTCTGGCAAGTGGCACCACACTGTTAAAGCAAGGACCACTAGACTCGAGAACAGCGTCTATCCCACTGCAGTACGCATCCTGCTGACTGCAGGGCCTCAGACTCAATGCACATCTGAACTCTGCACTTTTTACAGCCTTGGCTGGGCTGTAAGAGATGATTGATGGCAGAGACTGAGAGGCGTGTGGAGTAGTGTTGTTATATGGCGTTAATGGTGGTGTCCTGTGTTGCCCAGACGAGGGTGCTGGTGACCCACGGGCTGAGCTTCCTGCCTCAGGCAGACCTGATCCTCGTTATGGTGGATGGGGAGATCACCGAGGTGGGCTCCTACTCGGAGCTGATGGACCGGCAGGGAGCCTTCTCCGAATTCCTCCGCACGTACGCCAACGCAGATCAGGGCGAGGAGGAGGACCAGCCAGGTGAGTCCGTCTCCTTCCAGCTCCTCGGCCAGAATCGCTCGGGCTGCTTAGGGGTTCTCTAAAGTCTCTGAATTATATCTCTCTTTATGCGCACTATTACTGCGTTACTGTTCCTGTCTTTTACATTAGAAAAGTCCCTGGGTTGATCTTGTGTTTGTTTTCATTGTGTTGGTAGATGTAAAGATTGACCTTTTGTTTGATGGCACCTTCTGTGTGAAGTTTGTATGTTCTCCCCATGTTCACGTGGGTTTTCTCTGTGTGTTCCTCCAGCTTGTGCTCTGTGCCTTCAAGATAGGCTACTGTTTTCTATGACCGTGAACAAGAATAAGTAGCTTTCTCTTAATGAAAGTGTGGATGGATAATTGATTTGAGGTGAAACTTCTATTTTTTTTCTATTTAAGATATTTAGCTTTTTTCTTTTTCGGTTTACAGTTAAACATTTTTAGAACTATTTTTGTTGTGCCAGCATAGACGGGGGAGGGGGGTTAAATACAGAAACATTACTTATTCAAATCTACATTTGCTCTCCGCATAACCTCCAACACCGTGAACTGGTTCCCTTCTCTGTAACTTGTATTTTGCGGCTGATGAGGAAACGAATCAGGTTTTTCTGGCAGGTGTGTGTGAACGTGTGGAGCCGTGTTGAAATTTACATATCTTCATCCAGTGATCAGTCGATATTGCATTCTAATTGTCTTTTTCCCATTTTACTATTTTCTTTTGGGTCTTTTTCATGTTGAAAGTACTACTTTACCCATTTTCTTACAGTTTTTAACCTTTTTGTAACCTTCTCTTGTTTCGCTTGTCTCTAAACCTTTTTTTATCATTGACCTGTGTGCCCCCTTTTGTCCCTGTTATTATTTTCCCTTTGCTGTTCAGAAGACGGGGATGAAAATGAGGGCAAAGATAAACCAGAAGGTGTGCGGGTGCTTTGGTTCCCGGACCTAAAGCCTGCATGCTTTGCATGCAGAATGATTTAGTTTATGATCCAGCATGACTGCAATGAATGATGCAATTGTGCTTTTCGGACCCCACCCATTCCCACCTCCCGCCCCCTCCCCGACGGGCAGCACCGCTCTGAAGCGGAGTGGGACTGTGCACTGCAGTGCTGAGCGTGGCTCACTCTGAATCCGCTCGATCCCGGCCCGCCGTCTTCCACCGAACCCTGCTGCTGCTGCTGCAGAGCCTCCGACAGAAGCCGGGTTGCAGAGCTCATCTGGGTTTGGCCTCAAAATAAAAAAAATAAATAAAATTGTTCTCGGCCCTGCTACCACTTTAAGGCGCCACGCTCATTCTGGAAATTGGAAAGTGGAAATTCTGGGCCCCTTTGCTTCTCAGAGGCTCTGTCATCCATCAGCTGGCTCAGCAGTGCTGATGTGTAAATGCTTGTTTTATACCGCCATCTAGTGTCATCTAGGGTGTGTGTTTTTCTTACAACTTATGTAGTGATCTGTCTGATGATAGATGGTTCGCGTGACCAGTCACTTTAGAAATCAATCTGTAGAAAGTTCCTCTTCCGTTTCAGTTCTGATTTTAGAGCCAAGTTCGTCTTTTGCAAATATTCCTTTCCTCAGATGTCAGACCGTTTCCCAGACCAACAGGATTGCTCCCTTTGCTACGCCTCCTTCAGCTCCAACAAGGCGGTTGTTAGTAAACCAACCCCTTAGACGCCTATTAGCTACTAACCCACCTGGTTAGAATATTTTTATTTCTTGAGTAAATATTTCAACACTTCAGGACAGCACGGAGAAAGCTGGCTCGCTGTTGCTTTCTCGGTGCCATCGCTGAGTGCGTTGAGTTGATGAGTGGCAGAGTGCAGTGTGGAAAGCGAGTGCAGTGCAGCAGAGCCTGCCGCTGCTGCTGCTGCGCTGGCTGATGACCTGTCTCTGGTTCTGGGTGCAGATCGGAGCAGCTCCCCGGGGAGAGAACAGAAAGGCCTGGAGAATGGAGGGCCTGCAGCACTGAGGTGAGGGGGGGGGGGCGTTCGCTTCTGTGATCACTCCTGCAGTGGGGGCCGCTGCTGTCTCTCTCTCTCCCTGTCCTGAGCGCCGTGGCCTTTCTCTCTTCCAGGCAGAACAGCCTGACCTCCAGCGTGGGGTCAGACTCTGCCAAAGCGCTCCTGAAGAGCGGCTCCGCTGAGACCCCAAGCAAGCCGGGGGCCGGCAAGGAGGCGGGCAGACTCACTGAGGCAGACAAAGCCAAGACGGGCAAGGTGAGAGCGTGCTGGGCGTCGGTCTCGTCATCCTGATGTGCTCGTGGGGGGCGTTTCTCCCGGAGTTTATAATCATGTCGTAGAACTGAGTACCGATGGCTGCTTGGAAGAACTGTCGGCGCAGACGTTTCTACATCTCCGGGAACAAAAGTTCAGATTGTGCCACTGGCTGCCCTGTGTTCAAGCTGGACAACTCAGTGAAACTTTCTTGGCATGTTTAAACAGCAGATGTCCTGGAGGTCTTACAAACCTAAGAAAAAAAACGTGTAGAGAAACAGGACACAGAAGCCAGTTTTCTGATATTAACTGGGGAAGGGGGTGTCTCCTAGCAGTGAACATGGGAACTGCAGGAGGTGTTGAAGTGAGAGACAGGCTTTGTTACTGACGGATACTTTCATTAGAAAATGAAAGTTAGAACCAGCAGCTTTTGTCTCTGGCAGTGTGAGACTTATACAACATCCGTCTTTGCCAACAGCAGGAACACGCGTGTTCTACAGGACTGTAAAGCCTGGTGGTACCCTCTGACCTTTCTCCTTCATCCCCAGGTGAAGCTGTCGGTGTACTGGGAGTACATGAAGGCCATCGGGATCTTCCTCTCCTTCTTCAGCATCTTCCTCTTCCTCAGCCACCACTCCGCCTCCCTCGCCTCCAACTACTGGTTGAGCCTGTGGACTGACGACCACATTATTAACGGCACTCAGCAGTACACCGAGGTCAGGCTGAGCGTGTATGGGGTGCTGGGGCTGTGCCAAGGTATGTCAGTGTCCCACTTGCCATTTTCTGTTCCTTTCTGGAGCTGCGCTTTGGCTAATCTTATATCTAGTAAGAGTAACATACCGCTGGCAGCAGCTCCATTCGATCAGACTGCGTGTTGAATTTTCCTCTCATGGTCTGCTGTATTTCCCGCTGTGCAATGTTATTGTCTGGTGTCCGCAGTTTTTTTCGTCTTTTGTGCATTGGCAGGCATCGCGGTGTTCGGCTACTCGGTATCGGTGTCGATCGGGGGGATCTTAGCCTCGCGGTACCTCCACCAGACCATGCTGCACAACGTTCTGCGCTCGCCCATGTCCTTCTTCGAGCGCACGCCGAGCGGCAACCTGGTCAACCGCTTTGCCAAGGAGACGGACACCATCGACTCGGTCATTCCCGGCATCATCAAGATGTTCATGGGCTCGCTGTTCAACGTGCTGGGGGCGTGCATCGTCATCCTCATCGCCACGCCCATGATCGCTGTCATCATCCCCCCCCTCGGCCTGCTGTACTTCTTTGTGCAGGTCGGTGACCTTTGACCTTTGTAGCGACCTAGCTCTTGGGTCCAGAACAGCTACAGCACAGCCCTCATTTTCTAGGGCTGCGACACTGGTTTTAAGAGAAGCTCAGTGTATACATTGCTGTTCAGCAGACGCGTCAGCAGCCATGCTGGCTACAGTAATTGTTGTGCCCAGAGGATGCACGAGTGGATTTTAGAAGTACCTTATGTTGTACACGGAATCATGGCCATGGTTTCTTGGTGAAAGCAAGTCGCTTTCTTCATGACTTCATTCTGCGAATCGGGGCTTGTCTGGTGCTGTCTGGAACGGGATCATCACAGATCGAGTTTCTGTCCCTTCGCCCCCGTGTTGTAGCGCTTCTATGTGGCCACGTCTCGGCAGCTGAAGCGCCTGGAGTCAGTGAGCCGCTCGCCAGTGTACTCGCACTTCAACGAGACCCTGCTGGGGACCAGCGTGATTAGGGCCTTCCAGGACCAGGAGCGCTTCATCAAGGAGAGCGACTCTCGGGTCGACTACAACCAGAAGGCTTACTACCCCAGCATCGTGGCCAACAGGTACTGCCACTCACACAGCCTGTCCCGCCGGTAAGGCACGTACATAAGAAGCAGACAAAACAAGACTCTCCTTTCCTAGCTCCAAGGTTCAAATCCTGGGTACATGGAGGTCTTTCTACGTTGGGATGCAAACTGACATTCTTCAGTGCCGCCCAGCTCTCCTTCGTGTCATTGTAGACCTTACGGTTGGGGGCGGGGAAGCACCTGGGTTTCCCCGCGTGGTTGTTGGATTGGTGGAGGGCTGATTCGGGGCGTGTCGGGCTGTGCCACGCCTGGGTTACCGCGTGGGTTCTGGCTGTGTTGGCAGGTGGTTGGCAGTGCGGCTGGAGTACGTGGGGAACTGCATCGTTCTGTTCGCGTCGCTGTTTGCCGTGATGGCCAGAGACCGCCTGAGCCCGGGCAGCATGGGCCTCTCCATATCCTACGCCCTGCAGGTGAGGCCTGGCTCCGTCCTTTGACTTTTCTTTTGGCGTCCACCCAGTTGGCTCCCAGTTGCTTTAGAGGCCAGGCCACTGCTGTAACTTCTTCTTCTTCTTCTTCTTCTCCCCTTTCCCGCAGATCACCGCTTCTCTGAACTGGCTGGTGCGCATGTCCTCGGAGATGGAGACCAACATTGTGGCCGTGGAGAGAGTGAAGGAGTACGGAGACACGGAGAAAGAGGTATCGGCCGCAAACCTTTCCTACAACGGGAGAAGAGAGGACATTCAGCCCTCCAAGCCCCTTTGGTAGTTAATTGATCAAAGGATTTCATCCAGCTGTTTCTTTCCCTCGTTATTAAGTGTATTTCACGGAGGTTAAGGTATTCACGTGGGGCTTGAAACATTGATAACCTTGCCTGGCGATGGCGCTCTGTGTCCTCAGGCGCCATGGCAGCTGGAGAAGTCGGCTCCACCCAGGGGCTGGCCCACGGCCGGCCGCATCGAGATCCGCGACTTCGGCCTGCGTTACCGGGAGGACCTGGAGCTGGCTCTGCGGGACATCGCGGTCACCATCGAGGGGGGCGAGAAGGTGAGCCGGCCCGTCTGCGTGCCAGGACTGGGGGGGAGCTGGCGGGGCCCCGACGCAGAGGGGGCGGTTCTGACGGGGCCTGTGTGTTGCAGGTGGGGATCGTGGGGCGCACGGGGGCGGGCAAGTCCTCCCTGACGCTGGGGCTCTTCCGCATCATTGAGCCGGCGCAGGGGCAGATCTGCATCGACGGAGTGGACGTCTCCACACTGGGGCTGCACGACCTGCGCTCCCGCATCACCATCATCCCGCAGGTACGTGTCGGACTGATCGAGATGCAGCACTTAAAAACTGTGTTCTATATTATGTCTAATTACAGAGTTCTGTCAACGTTTTTGGTCCCCTGTCACATTACTGCCCTTGTGGAACTGAAATCCTTTAAGAACATGAGCAAAAATGGGCTCAGCCTCAAATTAGTATAAGTGAATGCAAAGCTGCACTGTTTTGGCAGATCCACTTAGTCATATTCAGGTCTGCTGCACGTAAGGCAGTCTGGTCAGTAATTCCTGGTCCGGTGTGTCCTGACCCCCTGTGTGTCCCAGGACCCTGTGCTGTTCTCCGGCTCCCTGCGGATGAACCTGGACCCCTTTGACAGCTACTCGGACGAGGAGGTGTGGAACGCTCTGGAGCTCGCCCACCTCAAGACCTTCGTGTCGGGGCTGCCGGACAAGCTGAACCACGAGTGTTCGGAGGGGGGAGAGAATCTCAGGTAAAGCAAGAGGCCTCAGGTCTTCTCCCCCTGCTCTGTCGCTCCCGTTCTCTCTCTCTCCCATTTCCCCTCTGGGATCTCCAAGAGCCCCCGCCTGTTGTTCTGCGTCTCGCCACTCTTGCCAGTGCTGTGCGCTGATCCGCCCGCTCTCTCCTCCCCGGCCTCTCTGTGCAGCCTGGGGCAGCGCCAGCTGGTGTGCCTGGCCCGGGCTCTCCTCCGGAAGACCAAGGTCCTGGTGCTGGACGAGGCCACGGCCGCGGTGGACCTGGAGACGGACAACCTGATCCAGTCCACCATCCGCAGCCAGTTTGAGGAGTGCACGGTGCTGACCATCGCCCACCGGCTCAACACCATCATGGATTACACCCGGTACGGCGGGGCGGGGCCGCTGGATGGGCACGGGAGGGGGTGGGTGTGGGAGATGGACAACAGCCCTCCATCTGCAGGACATAATGGATAGGGAAGATGTGGAGCGTGGCTTGGTGTTTTACTGTTTTGTTTCAGATGTTCTTCTCGTTATCGTTTTTTCTCCCTTGGTAAAATGAGTGAAAAGACCAATATGTGATGATCCTCATTCTCTTCTGTGCAGGGTGCTTGTTCTCGATAAAGGTCAGATCGTGGAGTTTGACTCTCCTTCCAACCTTCTCGCCAAGAAAGGAATCTTCTACAAGATGGCCAAAGACTCCGGCCTGCTGTGAATTTGGCTCTGAACTCAGGGATGCGGCCACGAGGACACCTGCCCAAACCAAACATCATCTTTCTTGCTCTCCCATGGCCAGTAGCTTCCAAAGTTGAAGGGGAAGTAGTGCCTCCTGTTTCCCCAGATCCCTGCAAGGGACTTGGGGACCCACCTGTGTTGCTGTGCACATGGTCACCACCCCCGACCCTTCTCTGTCATCTGCAGGCAAGACCATTTTCACACATGGCTCTTCTGCAGTGCTGGAAGGTTGGGGTTCACCAGCTAGAGCTCCCACTTCTAGTCTTCAAGATACACTGTTGCTCAGGGTCTATATTTCCGTCTGTCCAGATACTGAATGTGTGTTTCACCTCTGTGCTGCTTTCCTGAGTTAAACAAGGAGAGTGCTGTCTCCTTTCAGGGTTGGTTGTTGTTGAAAACCCATTAAGATTTTCCATACATATCGGGCCCATTTAATAATGTCTCAGATCCCTACTTCTTCATGTTGCAGGCTGACGAGGGAGAGAGTGTGCTGTGGTTCCATTTGCCATGACATGACGTTAGTGTTCTGCTAACGCCATCGCAACTAAACTGCATTTTTAAGACCACTTTCTAACTCGCTGAAAACTGCAAACTAAAATCCACAAAGACTTGTTCTACATCTTCATGGGCCATGGTTGCAAACGGCCAAGCTGCGGAGATTTGCACTCTAAAGCCTATGTATTGATCTGTGCTGCCGTGGAAACATGCTTGTTCGGCACTGTGGACATGTCTCAGCCCTGGGTCAGGCCTGACCCTGAATGGGTATCATAGTTTAGTGATCAGTAACATGGAACAGGAGTAATTGACCTTTGTCCCTTCCTCTTTTGGCCACACCTGCTTGACTCCTGACATGTTTCCAGCTGTGGAATTTCACTCTGATCCGGCCCAGAGGTTTCCACATTAAATCTTGAATGTTCAGGTTTGCTGCTGGAGGCTCTGTAAAGTTGAAGCCTGGTCTCAGACATGTTAACCACTTATCTTATTTTGCCATAACATGTTGAGATTTGCACTGCAGGATGAACAGTTACCTGCATTATGTGCGTTTTCCTCTTAACTGACAGAAGCTGCAATTATTTTATTTTTGTGAGGTCAATAGTTTCACCGTTTCATTTTGTAAATATGCTTTGTCAAGGAGTAGGGCTCCTTGCTGTGGGTGTTTGAAACTGGGGAAGCCCAGCACACTGTTTGGACAAAATCCAAAGGCTGGCAAGAGTCTCCTTCATTTCTGAGCTGGTGCTGGCTCCTTGACCAGTGCCTGTTTCAAATGGGCTGTCTCCCGACCTGTTGTTGTTTTTGCTATATTCTCCAAGAGCAGTGTAGTGAAACTGAGGGAACTGTCCACCCGCACACAGCGTGATGTTTTTCAGTCGAGCTGTAAGATTGCTGAGGCTGTTGGAATCGTTAGCTGGATATTCCCCTCCTCAGGCCTAGGGAAGTTCCTACCCCACACAGTGGAGAACCCACTGTACCTTATTGCTGTACTCCGTTACAAGAATTACTCCTGAAATGATCTCCATGTGTCTTCCCATGACAGAAAGCACAGGGTTGTTTCTAGAAAGGTTGGGAGCCATTTTTGCTCTAGAAGCAGTTAGGATGCTTCTGTAGCACCCCCATCAAGTTACATTGAAGATGGAAGAAATATACTGCAGAGACTTTTATGTGTGTTTGTATGTTACTGGGGGAGAGTGGGAGGGCAGGATCTCCTGAAGGACAATGGTATATGTCTGTGCAGGCCAGGATGAAGGGAACCCACACAGATCAGACTCAGTGCACAAAGGCAGTGGACACTGTCACACTAGTTTTCACTTCATCACAGTCATTTGAAATTCAGGCCTGGATGCCTGCGTTTGGAACGGGCTGTAGTTTCTACTGGCATGTGATCCTGCCCGTAATTCTCATTGTTCTAGTACTGTAACTGTGTATCCTAGGTACACAGATGTTACACTTGACTTGTACCAGACCTTTTCTTGATTGTACGTCCTCTGGTACATAGTGGCATTCATTTTCAAAATATAGCTTTTTCTTGGGTTTTTTTTTGGTGTAATTTACAAAAGCTGCTTTTTTTCCACTTTCTGACAAGATTTAAAGAGTTAAACTCTTATATGTATTTATATTATTGTAAATATTCAAAGATATCATTATTGCTGATCTGTACTTTTTAGTCAGGATTTTGAGTGAGCAGTATATTTTGTTACAAGAGATCTGTGATGCGTTGAAAGAGGAGAAATAAAGCTCTCAGATTTTTGTTAATTCCTGGGTTCCCCGTGTAATAAATTTCCGTTTCCACTTCGTTTCTGCGGTGTATGTTCCCAAGAGGAAGTTCTAATCCTTTTGAGGTTGACTGCTCCAGAATGCGCTCCCGGTCCTCCAGAGTCGGGATCGCACATGATCCTTTGAACTTCCATCCATCCGTTTTCCAATGGCTTCTTCCAGTGGAGGTCGTGGGGGAGCTGGAGCAGCAGGTGTGATGCAGGGTACAACCTGCATGGGAGGGCCAGTCCATCACGGGGCACGATCACACACACTCACACCTAGGGCCAGTATTCCCAGAAGCCAGTTAACCTACCTGTATGTCTTTACAGTATGACTGTGGGAGCCCCTGGAGGAAACCCACACAGAGAGCAGCCCAGGTCTGGAACTGAACCTGGGACCCCAGTGCTGTGAGGCAGACATAGTGACCACTGCCCCACTGTGCCGCCCCTAAATGAGTTCAGTTAAGCTCAGTTAGGCCATTGAGAGCAGAGATGGCGGGGGGAAGGCAGAGCAGTCCTCCAGGACTGGAGTCGTGCACCAGTGGGCTATTATATAGGAGTGGTGTAGAGGAGTTTAGTCATAAGTACATTGGGATTCTTATTTGTGCCATTCTCTCAGGACAATCCAGTATGGCGGACAATACCACACCATCTACATGGACTAGTCAACACAATTGGAGAGACCAACATCCTCCAGGGGGCAGCATTGTCTCTGAAATCTTATATCCACAGAAGAAAGTAAAAGACTGTGTAAAAACACAAGAAGAGGTGACTTTATCAAACCTGTTATTGTTTTAAGCGGCGAACATGTATATCCAAAGCATTGTTAATGTTTAAATTGTGGACCTTCTATAATTCACTGTACTGTGAAGTGGTATTCACTGGAACACTTAACTATTATAGCTGTTGCATTTTGCCAACACCTGTAATATACAGTAGGTGTGCCTGCTGAAGATGATGGGATGGGTACCGCTTACCTTACCAGTATATAATTTCAAAATCTTTCAGTGCAATTCGTAGTTTTCTTACCATGCCATATTTTTAGTTGTCTGTTAAACTAGGAAAGATGAAAAGCGCAGCCCTTTGATGGGCTGGGTGCTGACACAAGGCACGGGTCTCCAGGGATGGTCAGTTTTCTGTCCGGCACATGGGCGCCACATGAGGTACCAGTCAAAGTGTTAATAACTACCCCCCCCCTCCCCCACCACCACCACCACACATCCCTGGGGGGGAGAAACCCCTATTTTCTCCCCAATATGTAAAGCATAGTTTGATCTGTAATTTGCAGTTCCCATAATCAGATTGTAGGATGCAAAGCAAGCAATGACTAGCAGTTGACAATGCCTCACCTGGCTGGTAATTGCCACCAATATTCGAAAAAGCAGCCTCCTGGCCTTGATCGGAGATTTTAGCTGTACTTATTTGCCTATTGGCTAGGTTGAGTGAGTGCAGAATAAAAGAAGAGGGATTGCTGACCAGTGCATGTTGTTTAGGAAACAATGGAGATCCCATTTAATAAATGAGTGATTATGCAGGCCCAGGAGGCTAGCGTTGGTGTCTGCGTCCATGTGTGTACAGTTACCATAGGACCCATGGGAAATTCTCACACTGAATACGTGGTGTCGCTTTCGGCTTCCCCCGGATACTGCTGCCTGCCCAGTCTTTCTGCGTTGGCGGGCTGGGCCGGTGCCTGCCGGGTCGGCCTAGGTGGATGGTTAATGTCCCGCAGGTGGAGCTCGGATGCCCCAGTTCCGACAGGGAAAACTCAGCACACGTCTGTGTGGCCGACCGCTCCTCCCCAAGAAAAGAAAGAGTTTAGAAGCTGTGTAATAACAGAAAAGAAAAGGAGCTTAAGTGAAGGCTGAGCACGGCAGCGGCTTCTAGTGTATTATTATTCTGGGATGCAGCTGCTGAAGGCCTTGGTCATTGTGGGATATGAAGTCATGTGTATTATAATGGCTGACCAGTCCTTGTAATGTATGCTAAGCCTGCAGTGGGGGAGTCTTTCTGCATTTCCTAACGGGGCCTGGATTCTTTCACGATTCCGTAAAGGTGAAAAGTCTGAGTCTGTGGGGGTAATGGTGCCGTATTCTGAGGTGCGCCTACATACATGTACCTGTCATGTTTCACTGTTCTCTCAGTTCGGAAAATATGAAATGATTCTGTTGGGGAATCGAAGCTCAGAATGTTGTGGGGAATATCAGTCAATATTTGATCGTAAATGAAAATTAAAAAGATGCATGCAGCACAGTGCATACTCCAGCGTCCTGGCCAATTTTCCCATTGGCCTTTATCAATCATGGCCTCCTAATAATCCCCGTTTATGAATTGGCTTCATCACTCTGTTCTTCTCTCCACTAATAGCTGGTGTGTGGGGAGTGTACTGGCGCACTATGGCTGCTGTCGCATCATCCAGGTGGGGCTGCACACTGGTGGTGGTGGAGGGGATCCCCATTACCTGTAAAGCGCTTTGAGTGCAATATCCAGATACATGACTGAAAACCAATTATTATCAAAGGACTTTTAAAGTTTGTCTTGTTTATTGAGACCTAAGCAGTGCTTAAAAAGAGAGTCTCACTACAGACAGTTGGGGGCTTTCAAGTCAGTGGGAAGAAAAGACATCTCAAAGATATTTTAATTAAAAAAGCTGCCAATTCAGGACTTTTGTTGCAAGTGAGGAGCTGGAAAAGTCCCAGCAACAGCGGAGTGTCTGGTACCCACCCCGATTTCAAATCCAGTAAGTAAAACAACTACTAGTATTTTCTTAATATTTATTAACGGTAAAAGATGAAAGATACAAAAGTATAAATATCACAATTGTAACAATATAGAAAATATTCTGCACAATGAAATCTTAAAGGCACATTTCATTATATATGATGTTACCTGCTGGAGTCAGACATGCACGATGTAAAGGCTTAAACGTACAGAGAGACCCCGGCAGCAAACTGGTTTTCTGTCAGGGAGCTGCTCAGAAATTGTCAAGCCCTTGTTCAATGCCAAAGGCAAAGGAGGACATTGTTCATCTCCTTTTTACAGAAGAAGGCTTTCTTCCCCCCCCTCGTTTCAGACGTCCTAACTAATATTGACGTCTGCTCCTCTAGCTACGCGTGTGGTTCCTGGAGCTCGTACAAGCCCAATCCGCTTTGTCAAACAGTATACATAGAGAACGAGAATGATTCCGAAGCTGCCGTTAAGCCCCCTGGGGGAGATCTGGACTGGGGTTGGGAGGCTGTGGGGGCCCCAGTGACTGTGGGACAGACATTGCGCTCCGTGTGCACGCACAAATCAGCACTGATCGCCACTTCTTCTTTGGCTTTTCGGTTTGAGAGTAAACAACTGGCAAACTTCGAAAATTTGGTTTCAGTCATTCAGTTGCTGGTAAACGTTTTTGAAGACCACAAAATAGCTCTGTGGCCAGCACCTTGGCACTGTTGATCTGTCCTCCCACACTCTGCAGTAGCCCTCCGCAAGCTGCGTCGCCGTGAGCAGCCGGGCGGCAGCGAAGAGACCGTTTTCCGGGCTCCTGGTTTTCCGAGGGGAGGTGGAAGGTGCCCACCACAGCGGTGCCGGTTCTCATCGGACCTCGAGCGGTCCTGCTTGCGCGAGATTGTCGGCGTCGACGTCGTCGCAGACTTGAAAACGAACAGGGCTACAGCGTTCGAAGGACTGACTGTCGGGGGCCAGTCCTTTTTTTGGTTTCTCTCGATGGTTTGGTTATGGGGAGGCACAGCACCCAGTTATAGGAAAAATATTTACAGCATGTGCTACATCAGTAAACCCCCCTCCAGTAACCAGACCTCTTCCTCCAGAAGCAGCAGTGTGGAGAGTGACAGCATTCAGTCCCCCGGCCCTGCCTCTGCCTGGGGCAGGGGGAGGCTGGACGGGCTCGAGAGCCGGCAGTTCACCCCCACCTTTTTGGTTACAGCCCTGAGCGTCGCAGATCTGCAGCGGAGAGGAGGAATAACAGTCTCAGCACCTGGTGCAGGGCCCTTTCGGCTGTTCTTGTTCACATTATTGCTCGTTGTTTCCTCTTTCGTTCCTCTGAAAGAGCAGCAGCTGCCCCCGGGCTTCTGATGACCTGTTTTCTTCTCTCTCCTGTCTTCACTGGGGAGGCAGGAGGTGAAGAGAGAGCGGGGTTCCCCCCCCCCCACTCAGGACCCCTCCTGCTTGGGGCTGTCACACCAGCCCCGCCTCCCGGCACATTCTGTAGAACTGGCCCCGGCTGGCGATGAGGTTGGACGGGGTGTCCATCTCTGTGATCTGCCCTCGGTCCATCACAATCACCCTGCATTGGAGACACCCACAATCAAGACTCCAGCAAGGACGCCCAAATTTAATAAATGTGCTTCTTTCATCCCTGTGAAATATTGATAACAAGTCCTTGCTTTTATATAGTACTTTTCATACTTTTACACCTACAGGAAGGGACCCACTTCAGTGGGGGACACGTACCAGCGGCTCTGCAGACCAGGAAGAGGAATTGAAACTGCAAATCACGGATCATGACAATTCAACATGCACCTCACTCGCAGGAAGTCTTGGCAACTTCCTGTTATAGAGAAACTGTACACACCCCATTTTCATGAGAAATATTCCTAAGGTGCCGGTAGCTTCCTGGGGAGGGATTCGGAGTGGAAGTGGGAAGAGGGGGAGAGCACTGTGGATGGGGGACAGATTTTTGTTTTAACGTCTTCCAAAATTCCCGGTCTTTGTCATTCCAAGTCCTTGCCTCTGGCTGTGGGTACCCGTTACCCCTCAATTCATCTTCTAAATTCAATCGCCTGTTTCTACACACTTTTAATACCCTTTCTCTTCTATTCAGGTGGCCCTCCCTGCCTTGTACCTGTCCCGTAACCCCTTCTTCTAGCCTCTGAACTCCAGTTTTAACGGTCAAACGGGCTGCAGACGGAGGGCTGTTGTCCATCTCCCACGCCCACCCCCTCCCGTGCCCATCCAGCGGCCCCGCCCCGCCGTACCGGGTGTAATCCATGATGGTGTTGAGCCGGTGGGCGATGGTCAGCACCGTGCACTCCTCAAACTGGCTGCGGATGGTGGACTGGATCAGGTTGTCCGTCTCCAGGTCCACCGCGGCCGTGGCCTCGTCCAGCACCAGGACCTTGGTCTTCCGGAGGAGAGCCCGGGCCAGGCACACCAGCTGGCGCTGCCCCAGGCTGCACAGAGAGGCCGGGGAGGAGAGAGCGGGCGGATCAGCGCACAGCACTGGCAAGAGTGGCGAGACGCAGAACAACAGGCGGGGGCTCTTGGAGATCCCAGAGGGGAAATGGGAGAGAGAGAGAACGGGAGCGACAGAGCAGGGGGAGAAGACCTGAGGCCTCTTGCTTTACCTGAGATTCTCTCCCCCCTCCGAACACTCGTGGTTCAGCTTGTCCGGCAGCCCCGACACGAAGGTCTTGAGGTGGGCGAGCTCCAGAGCGTTCCACACCTCCTCGTCCGAGTAGCTGTCAAAGGGGTCCAGGTTCATCCGCAGGGAGCCGGAGAACAGCACAGGGTCCTGGGACACACAGGGGGTCAGGACACACCGGACCAGGAATTACTGACCAGACTGCCTTACGTGCAGCAGACCTGAATATGACTAAGTCGATCTGTCTAGCAGGAAATGCTTTCTAGCCTCTGGAAGTTTACAGTTAGATATGGCTTTTGTTGTGTAATTGCACAACAAAAAAGCTTTAAACTGCTAGCTGTGTAGAGGATGATTAAAACTGAACAGACACCGCAGAAGGTTGAAGGGGATATTCCATAATGGTTACAGTAATATGCAGTCTTTTCAAGGATATGGGTTATCGGCGTGGACTGGGAACTGGTTATGCAAATTTGAAAGATTTGCAAATCCTGGACAAAGAGAGAGGAGTCTATAGTTTGTCCAATGGAAGAGACCCACAGTGAGGCCAACATACCTGTGGGATGATTGTGATGCGGGACCTCAGGTCGTGCAGACCTATCTCTGCAATGTTGACGCCATCAATATAGATTTCTCCTTTGGCAGCTTCCAAGATCCGGAAAATCCCGAGGGCTAGAGAGGACTTCCCAGCTCCCGTTCTCCCAACTATCCCAACCTGCAAGGGTTTAATATTGCGGAGGGGGGAAAGTGGTGTGATCAGTAAAGGGAATGGGTGACAGATCCAACACTTGTTTTCATTCACTTTTCAGTACATCCGAAACTCAAGTTTTCTCAAAACAGTAAATGCCTTTGTACCACAAAATGGACTCATTCTGATACTGCAACAAAATGCAGCTGAGCAGATAAAACATCATAGAATTTCATTAGAAAAAGCAGAAGATGGGAGTATTTTGTGATTTCTGAATGAATTACACAAAAAACTGGCATGCACAATCAGTTACTGAGCGCAGCAAGCAACCACGCCGATTAGAACCTGTGTTTAGAAGCAATGAATGGAGCCTGACCTTCTCCTGCTCCCGGATCTGCACTGTGATGCCCTTCAGAGCCCAGTCCAGGCCCTTGCGGTACTGCAGTCCGTATCCCCGCAACTCAATGGTGCCTGTCTGTGGCCAGGCAGGGGGCACAGGGCTGCTCTCCACTGTCCAGGCTGCCTGCAGGATGCAGTTTAGGCTAGATCAGATTTCACCCCAGGGAAGGGTGCAAAAAGGATGCAGGGAACAGATTGTAGTTTTTTTTTTAAAAGAAAGGGAGAAAACCGAAATGTTCATAGGGGTGTTAGGGATCTAGGTATCTTTGCTTGTTCTTTTATAGGAAAGCACACTTTTGAATCCGGAGCTCAGAGAGCAGATAAATGTGCCTCAATAAGGTTGAGGCTGTTTTATGGTAACCACAGGCAGGGATCAGAGCTGTTCCTCGGTCAGACCTCCGGCTGGCCGTGGGCTTGGGTGTGGAGAGCCAGAACGAGCCGGGTCTCCCTGCGCCGCGGCTCACCTCTTTGGCGGTCTCGACGTACTCCTTCACCCGCTCCACCGACACGATGTTGTTCTCCACGTCTGTCCAGGAGCGCACGATCCAGCTGAGGATTCCCGTCACCTGCGGGAAACAGCAACGCCGGAGGGAAGCGTGATCACCTACTGTCCACCTACACGTGACGCCACTTTCTAATTGGCTGGGCGAAAGCAGGTGCGCACGAAAAGATAGTCTTTTCCCATGCAGGGTTGCTGAGGGGAAAGGATGGGTATGTTTATGTGATGCAAAGTAAAGTACTGTATGTGGGATTGTGGATTCCTAATGCGTTTGCCAGTTTCTCACTCAGTGCTGCCCCATCATTGCTGTGGGCATGTCTGTGTTGTCACTGGGTGTGTATCTGATTACCTGTAGCGAGTGGGATACTGCCAGACCGACGATTCCAGGACTGAGCGTTCCCTTCCCTATCACAGACAGAATAGCTGCGGCCAAGACCAGTGCATTGCCCAGGAACTCCAGGTTCACAGCCAGCCACCTGCAACAAACACAGACATGCTGATTCTTTTCATTGTCCTGGCCAGGTGAGGCTCAGCATGCTTTGTAATACCCTCCCAGTACAGAAAGAAGGACACCACGGCAACTGATTAGCTGACTTTGGGAATAGGTTTATCTTGTGCACATAAACTTGCTTGATTGGTTAATACGACGCTCTCGACTCGTTCCGCAGTGGGAAAGAGGGCTGTGTTGCTGTGTCTGACCTGGTGGCTACGAATCGGGGGAAGTAGGAGGTCTGGTTGTAGTCCACGCGGTGGTTGGCCTGCAAGATGAAGCGAGGCTGCTCCCTGAATGCGCGGATGACGCTGACGCCCTGCACCGTCTCGTTGAAGTGGGTGTAGATGGGCGAGCGGCTCACCGACTCCAGCCTGCGCAGCTGGCAGGAAGTGGCCACGTAGAAGCTCTGCAACACAGCAACGAGCAAGGGGGTTCTGTTGAAAGGGAGGAATGCGAGCAAGGGAGCCTTCCCGGCCTTTCCGCTGTGGAGCCTCGGGATGAAGCTGAGAATAACACGGTAGTCTAATCCTCACCCACAAGTCACCCGTACTGTACTGTAAAATCAAACCACCGTTCAGCAGCTAGCAAGGTAAGGACACACCATCCTCGGTGATCTAGTTACCTGTGCTATTCCCACTCTGAGGCGAAATGCAAAGAAATGCAACAGATCAAACTGAAAAGTGTTACTATTTTCCACTTAAATTGGATGCTAACATGTCTTACATGGACAGCATTTTTTTTATAATGAATGGTTGTAATGGTTAGATCTTGGTTAGTAATGGTTAGATCTACCTCCAGTTAAACCTAACACCTGTTTCCGTCTGGAACAGCGCCCCCTGCCTACCTGGATGAAGCAGTAGAAGAGCGCGAGGGGCAGGATGACGACGGCGGCGAAGGGCATGGCCAGCAGCACGATGATGCAGACCTCCAGCAGTTTGAACAAGTAGCCCAGCATCATCTTCAGCCCGTCGGGGATCATGCAGTCGATGGCGTCGATCTCCTTGGAGAAGCGGTTGAGCAGGTTGCCGCTGGGCGTGCGCTCGAAGAACGACATGGTGGAGCGCAGCACGTTGTGCAGGAGCTCCTGGTGCAGGTGGCGGGACGCGATGATGCCCCCCACTGAGATCGCCACGTTCGTGCCGAAGATAGCCACCCCTGGAACACCAGGACCAGTGAGATCACTGCCACCTCCATAGTGAGGTTAACTATAGAGTAGCCACTATGACATAACCCAGCAACATGAAGCAAGTGTTGGACGTTTTAGAGATGACAGATATAATACCTTCTCTCTTCTATCATTCCCATTTTAGAAGATGCACTCATGGTTAATTCTCGCTGGATCAGGGAACCGACATGTAGTGTCAATTTACATGAACCTCAATGTGAAAGCATGTAGAATCACATTATAATCAGAGGACTGGAAAGATATTTGTCCATCTGAATTAAGCCTGGATTAAATCAGTAAGTTTGAACCTCCCATCAGTCGCCAACTCCAAAGCTATACTCTTTCCATGATTTAGGTGCAACAAACCACCGGCAGAAATCTGCCATTTAGAGTGGGTGGGTCAATGTTTTCGTTTAACCTGGACTTCAGTCTCTCTGGAAGCCAGTGAAGAAAGGACAGACAACTTAATCACCCCTATCCTCTATATTCTAAAGCTGCTGGAATCAAACCGAAAGCCAGAGTCGTGTGCAGGACCGACTGGGGAAGAGGCTTAGCTCCTCACCTTGTGCGAAGCCCAGCACCCCGTACACGCCCAGTTTCAGGTCCGTGTCAAGCTGTGTGCCGTTGACGATGGGATCATCCGCCCACATGCTGAGCCAGTAGTTGTAGGTCAGCGAGGCAGCCTGCTGGAAGGCGTACAGGAAGATGATGGGCAGGATCAGGGCCAGACCAATGGTTTTGAAGTACTCCATGTACATCTCCAGCTTCACCTGCAGGGACAGCCAGTGGCCATGAGAGACAGTTAGAATCTGGGCGTGGTAGAGGCATTAGCCCTCCTGAGAATAGTCAAAAGGGCTGCAACAGTCTTATAACTGAGCAAAAAAAGCATCTGGTTTGGAAATCTACATGAGGGGATATTTGGTACAGTATATAAACTTGCAGCGTGGGCAATAGAAGACAGTTCTCATAAAAAGATGCGTTTTATTCAAGGCAAGGCGATTACTCACTCTGCCAGTTCGGGCTCTGTCGGCCTCGGTCAGTTTCCCAGGATCCTCTGGGGTCTCATCCTGGTCTGAGTCTGACCTGGATTCCATATTCTGCAAGCTGGGGCTCCCGGTATCTCCACTGAGAAAGAAGGCAGCGTGGGAGAGTTAGGATAGCAGCATGCATTCTGGTGTGCAGGATCAGATGGGAAGCATTCAGAAACAGACTCCAGGCTGCCAGTCTACAAACCTGATGAGCTGCTCCTGGGACAGGTCTCTGGAAACGGGCATATAGTCAGTCACACTGAGCCTGGAGGAGGACTTTCTGGGACCTGCAATGCAGAGAGCTTGTAAATGCCACACAGGGAGCAGTCTAGCAGATTACCAATTGGGAATTGAATTGGGAAAGATCCAGATATTTATTTGTTTATTTTGTTGTATGAAAAATACCCACATGGCATCAGCTTTTAGGTAATGTACCATGATATGTTCTCACATTAATGTGCAGTGAAATATTTTGTTAAAAGGACTGTAAAGAACATCAGGATGAAGTGAAGTACGAATCCCTCTGTGGTTCGAAAACAGGTGTTGGCTCCTCACCTCTGTGCACGGCACTTTCTTTGCGGTCGCTGCTGGCGAACACCCGGATGAAGTCGGCAAAGGCGCCGTTGCGGCCCAGCAGCTCCAGGTACGAGCCCATCTCCGTGATCTCCCCATCAGAAAGCACCAAGATCAGGTCAGCCTGTGGCAAGAAGCTGAGCCCATGGGTCACCAGCACACGTGTCTGTGAACATGGACATGAGCATGGAGTACTATATTACAGGAACATTGCACACAGACAACACTATCAGTACAGTTTAACCTTATTACATACAGTCCTTCGTACAATGAGGTTAATCAACCAACATCTCATCAGCTCTCTGAAATGGAAATATTATACTTTTCTACTTACAGGCCAGACATGTATTATCTCAATACGTTTCTGTATGCCCTATTATATACCTGCTGCATAAGTTATTGTTAAATGTGGTTAAACTGTAGAAATCTGTGCTTAAAATAGAACACAATTCTATTCTGTAATTGCATTTTGGATTTGTATTTAAGTATTACAGTATGTGGTACTCAATTCCAGCAAGGTGATGGGACTAAAACTATGGGAGAATGGGAGCTTACATCCCAGTAAGTGAGGTAAGTGTGTGGGCGTTACCTTGTCTCTCAGCAGGCCCTTGGGTCCAATGACTTTGTCAAATATGTGCTGTCCCACATGGGCGTCCACTGCAGACAGGGGGTCATCCAGCAGATAGACATCAGCCTTCCTGTACACAGCCCTCGCCAAGCTGACCCGCTGCTTCTGCCCCCCTGACAGGTTCAGACCCTGGACAAGGAGACGCACACAACTAGATGGTCAGACATGAGTCAGAAAAGCTCTGACTGGAGACCCTTATTGCTCCTAAACTCAGACTAAAAAATTGTTTGCAAAAGGCTCTTTCTAAGCAGATGGAGTCGTACATGTGTCAGCTATGTTGGTTGTGCAGTGTCTGTTCCTTATAATGGCTCAAACTCATCATCAGCCAGTCTCTTGTGTGGTGCTTTTTTTAGCAGCAGAGAGGGCATCTTATCCCCTGGAATGAGCTATCTACTGGCTGCATTTTCTGTAATCCTATAAAACAGAATACTCTGCGGGAAAGAGGACAGCTAGATTACTTTATGCTAATGCAAAAAGTTGGTATGGTTATTTCTTGTATTAGGCTCTTTTTGTGGAAAACGAGTAGACATTTTGACAAAACAATATGGTGCACAAGGGTGTATCCTGGTGTATGCTAACTTAGAGGCCTCCAGTTAGTAGTAAAAACGCATCTGAAATCATTGTGTGACGTGTTACTCTCAACAAGTGTCTAATGGCCTTGAAATGTTAAGGAACTATCCCATCTCCATTAGGCGGAGGACGGATGAGGAGTAGGTGTGGGCGCTGGGAGTGAGCTACCTTCTCTCCGATTTCAGTGGCGTCCCCTGCAGGCAGGATCTCCAGGTCGGGCAAGAGGGCACAGGCTTCCACTACGCGCTGGTACCAGGCCTCCTTCTTCTCGCGCCCAAATATAACGTTCTCCCGCAGAGTGGCATTCTGGATCCAGGCCTGCTGGGGCACGTAGGCCACTGAGCCCTGCACGCAGGGTCACAGAACAGAGAGAGAGTTACCCTGTGATGCCTGACGCAGGCCGTTCTGTCTGGAATGCAGAACCACTCAGTTGTTTTTAACATGTAGTTGTTTTTAATTTAAAAAAAATTAAGTACATTTGGTTGTGAGATATTGTCACGTGTTTCATAACAGGAGACACACTCTGGATTAGTCCTAGTCTACACATGTAACCAAGTAGCAGTCTACCTAAATAAAACAGTAAGAACTGTATTAAGTTCCAGACAAGTGAAATTCCAGACAGAGGGACAGAGAGCTCAGGGACAGTGTGGTACCTTCACTAAGACACGGCCGCTCCTTTTCTCAGTCTCCCCCAGGATTGCTGACAGCAGTGAGGACTTTCCACTGCCCACATGACCCACCACTGCCAGCAGAGCCCCCTGCGGGACTCTGACATTGATCCTGCAAACAGGGGGACAGATACTGGTTCAGGCACAACTCGGTCAAGTTCCCACGGTACAATACCGAGCATGAACGGTTCTTGGATTATCTGTTAAAAAGAACAAAGAGACTGACCTCCTTAAGCAGGGGGATCCTTCCCTGGTCCAACTGAAAGTCCCGTTTTCCACCACCACGCTGCCCCCTTCAAAGGGAGAGACCGATGGAACGAGAGGTCAGTCGGGGATTCCAGACATTGAAGGACAACATGAACTCGGAGTTGGGCTCAATTACTGGACCTGTTATTTTCCAGTTTCAGGTCAGCCAGTTATCATTTATGTGAATGTTTGATCTCTCAATTGGACTGCGCATCCTGTCCACATCAATTTTCCTGTGTGATCATGATCCCCCAGTCTAACATTACCGGGCCTACTGGAAATCATAATCAACACCCTTCCCTGGCTCACATAAGCTTTGCTCTTAAAAAAGGAAACACAGTAACAAGATGAGAAGTGAGACGTACAGAAAAACCACAGAATTCCCTCCTGGTGACTTGGTAAATTACAGGGTCTATAATTACAAGGTACCTGATTAACCACCGTTTTAAAAATGAATGTGCACATATCCAGGAGCTTTTGAGGAGTGTTGAAAGATGAAAAATGAAAAATTAATTAAACCAGTTTCTTCCTGCTAGCTACTGTAGGTGTCAGATCTCACATATGTTTTCCTTGATTGGTATGGCTGTTATCCCCCAATACTGACTCCTGGGGTGTAAACAATATGTAATATTTTGTCGTTGCGAAACATCTTAAGTTTGCTTCTTAACTGAACAGTTGTAGCAGATTTTTCTGGTTATTATCTGCTCAAGATTATCTGCTCTTTTTCACGGCTTATCAAAGGGCCAGAACGTGTGGTGGGTTAAAGACGACGCCCCCGAGGAGATTCTTCTCATCTTTTTCTAACAACGCCGAAGGATTCTGTCCTGGAGCGCTGGGAGGCGACTCGGCAGCATTGAGAGGGTCCGAGCCCAGGCCATCAGCGGACAGAGGAATCGGCCGGCCGAGCTCACTCACCGGGGCTGAGGGGGGCTCTCTCCACGTTGTCAGCTTTCAGCTCTTCTTGACAGAGGAACTTGCCCAGGCGCTTCAGAGAAACGAAAGCCTGGAAAACAAACCACCCCATTGAGTGTTTCCACCCCCTCAGCAGCGTCCATCACAGTAACGCAGAGATTGTTCACTTTTTTTTCCAATCCACCCTCTCTGTTTTGAGCTTTTGGCTGCAGCGCTCATCTAATTGAAGCCAGTCAGGATCAAGAAAGTGCAATGACACATCTGGCTGCAGTACAGCCATTCGTTAGTGCTGCAAGACGAGGAGACAACTGGAGTAACCCAGTTAAGGCACAGGGATCTAGACCCCCGGTTGTGGGATACTGGTGTGGCGTGATGGCGGTGACCTCTGACCTCACCTGCATGGTAGTGCTCATGGCGAAGGGCAGCTGGCTCAGCGGGGTCTTCAGGATGTTGATCAGGGCCATGGACACGAAGACCTTCTGGGCGTCGAGCACGTTCTTCTCGTCTATCAGCACGTACACCCCGAACATGGCGAACGCAATCTGAGGGACAGTACCCAAACACACCAGGCCACTCAGAGACGTCGCTGCTGCAGTTTTAGTCTTCAGTTCCTGAAATACCTTTCCCCTAACTTTCTGGCTGCTTGGACAATTAATCCCCAAACTTGTGTCTCAGTCTGTTGTTGAAACAAAGATACCCCCCCACCAGTGCTTCAGTTTGAAAAGAGGGCCAGACAGTACCAGCCCCGTTCAACACTTCCCCCACTGTTGCATCGTAAGCACAGGACGCTGTTCTTACCAGGAATGTGGATGAGTTGAAGGACGCAATGGAGATGGAGTAGAGAATCTGGGATTTCTTCAGGGCCTTGAGCTCCTTCTGCCTGTAGCCCAGCACCCTCTCCAGGAAGGCCTTCTCCCAGGCGTAGAACTTGATGATCTTGATGCCGTTCAGAATCTCGTTCATCAGCTTGATCCTCCCATCCATGTGCTTCATCTGCACCTCCTGGCGATGGGCAAAGACGTCAGGGGGGCCCCCCGTGAGTCACCATGACACAGGTACAGCACATTTACCCGCCCTCGTATCGGGGAAAAGCATTGCACAAGAACCACGAGTCATGCTCCAATGAGGGCTATTAGATATTCTATTAATGACCAGTTTGTGAGCAATTGACGTTCTGCAAACCGTCGATAAATCACCCACATACCCAGGAGTGATGAGGTTAGCTTAAGGACAGCAATCATCGCTGCTGTGTCGTTTCAACTCAATTAACAATACATTGATCACTAACAGAATATCTGTTCCCCCCTTCATTTTTTCATTTGACCAAAATGTTGTTATGGAATAGAAATCAAACTAACACGATAAAATGAAAATATATCTAGTTTTGCTATTCATTCATGGGACACTGTGGCAGAATTATTTATACTGTATATTTATCAGACAAAGCAGGAAATGTTTACCCGTATATGGTGTAAGATGAAAGTATTTTTCCATTTGTTATAACTATTGTATCAATGAGAGTAAGATATTTTATGCATCTGCCTTATACCTGTGGCTCGGTAGCATGCAGTATTATCTGCAGTCCAAGGGCACACAGTATGTGCTGATATTCCAGTGACCAGCTACAGTCACAGAACATCCCAAAATCCAGCTAGGAGAGAATCTGAGTTTTTGCAGTTGTGTCTCCTTTCAGTACTTAAATATGGAAGTGGTTAATCCATTCCCATTGGCGCTGCAGCACTGCCAAAAGTCTGCTTCGTTCAAACACAAAAATCCAAAACAACAATAAAAAATTTTATAGCGCATATTATGCGGTTGACTTTCATATGGGTAACATGGGGACATCAAAGGCCGAATAGGGAGAGTGTGCCCCCAGCCCACGCGGCCACACCACTCTGATCCCAGCCAGCGGCGGGACAGGGAGAGAGGAGACAGGGCAGCGGGCCCACAGGGATCTCCTCTCCCTCTTGCCCGGTGGGAGCTGACGGTACCTGGAGTTTGCTCCTCTGCTTGGCGATGAATCCGTTCAGGGGAAAGATGAGGATGACGGTAGCTATCCCAGCCAAGGCCGAAGGACCCAAGTGCTGATCAGGGGGAGGGAGAGGGAGAGAGAGGTAGCGGTAATGAAATATCTGGCACTGCTGTGTGACCACTGGCAGGGCTTAAAGGGAGCGCTGTGCTATATTGAAGTTATGTCAAATTCCTTTTTTGTTTATGCGAATCATGCTAGATCTCGGTTGGCTTTTCTTTGTTTTTTTAGTATTCACACTGAACCAGAATCAAGAAAGAAAACACAGATATTTGGACAGTCAGTTGCTTCAGCAAACTCCGCGGGGATCCTGCAAAGCCTGAGATCAGTGTTGGAATTTAGTCACGTTGAGGACTTGTGCCCTTGCTTGGTCTCCACGGGACCCCTTACCTGCCACAGGAAGAAGAGACAAAGGCCGATCTCGATGGGCGCCAACCACACCGCGTTGAAGTACACCACAAAGTCCATGAGCTTCTGAGTGTCTGCTGACACCAAGTTCACGATCTCTCCCACCGTGCAGGTCCTGCGCGCAGCGCTGTTGATGACCAGGGACTGCGGCACACGCAAAAGAAGAGGATGGTGAGGACCTGTTGAATCTTTGCATCCTCTAAGAGATAAATCAGAGCTTGCACGTCTGATTCCCTTTCTGCGCTGAGCTGCCAGCCCTCCAAACCCTACCTTTCTGTACACCAGGCCCATGACGGCTGTTTTGACCCTCATGCCCACGGTGAAGCAGGAGTACATGTACTGGTGATTGAAGAGAGACTGCAGGCAGGACAGGAGGAACATCAAGGCTGCATAGAAATAGCCCTTCCACAGGGGGGCGTCCTTATCCCGCATGAAACCTAGCAGGAAACTGAGGGGGGGGGTAGAAAATAGAGAGGCTGTCAACAGGCTGGAGAGTTGAGTGTGATTACCTCATGTTTCCCATCAAACCTCCTGCTGCTCTTGGTTATCATGGCTGAGACCAGTAAGGCAAAGAAATTTGTTTCAGTTATTACTCAGACTGAGCTCTTCTGGCGATACAGGCACTGCAGAGACACAGGGCGTTCAAAGTGTGTGTCCCTTGAAGCTTGGTGCCTGTGCTACTCCTTTGTTGGCTCCCTTTTCTTTCACAGTAGGTGTTGATACAACTGTGATTATAACCAAGGCCCCAGGCCAGACATAGATGGAAAACATTAAGCTGTTTGCAGCCTGGCTTGCCTCAGACTTGGCCAGCCACTGCCTGACCGTGGTCAGCTGGTGCAGCCTGAGCACTTCAGCATTTTTCCGTTTAGAGAGTCTCCCTCCTGGTGTCCCCCTGCTGGTGGGGCTGTGACGACACAGGTCTGTGTGGGAGATGCTCTGTACTCGCTTGTTGAATCATCTCAGTGGAATCGAACTACTGTGGACAGCTATGTTACTTCCTCTGCTCACCCCAGGCCTTTCTAGACTGAGCTCCACTCAGCAAAGGTGCTTAGTGGCCAAACAAACCAACCATTAAGAACCTTGAGAAGTTGCAATGCTGCAACTACAGGGAAAAGCTAAATAGGTCACATTGGACACGGATGGCAAGGAATTAATGAATTGTGAAGTTTACCACATCCAGAGTGGTAGATGGAATTTTTTTTTTGACAAGAGAAATCAAAATCTTTAGGGACCAACAGCAGAAAATCTGTTTAGGTCAGCTTTTATGGTGAATCCCTAATGCTTTGCATTGAAATTCATGGTAACATCTGGAAAACATTCATGATGTTTGCCAGTACATACTTAGGACTCAATAGCATGCTTCTGTTTTTAATTTAAGAGATTCAATAAATGGCTCTACAGCTAGGTTGTGGTTCCTTTGCAAGCCATAATTTAATGATTATATGGGCTTGTAGCCTGCAATATTTTTGAGTGTAACGATTGTAACGAAGTTTTAATTTCCATGATAAGGTACTGTAACAAGCTCTCTGGTCCGGCCGGCTGTTTCCTCTCACCTGAGCACCTGAGGGATGGAGAACATGAAGGCGTCGTGCACTATGAGGCACAGGGTGCCAGTCAGGAAGTAGGGTCCGAAGGAGCGGGCGAGTGTTCGGAGCAGGGAGAACCCGGAGCTCTGCTCCCGGTGCAGCTTGCGGAGAAGCTGGGCCTGTTCTGTGAGCTTGGAGCCGGGCAGGGCACTGAGGGACTTCTCCTGCCTGACAGACACACACACACAGGTACAGTCAGCGCAGGCTGGCCCTCTGGCTGCTGGCTGCAACAATGCTTTCCTTTCTCTTCTAAAAGGATTTTATTATAATTATTTAGAAAGGACAATAAAACCTCAGATTGGATGAGCACAGGAAAGTCACGCCTGTTTCCTGATTTGACATACAGTAATGTAATTTATTAAAATCATCGGAACAATTGAACTTTATTTTAAAACATCTTTTCCAGGAGGCTAAACTACATGTTGACTGTTGCCACCGGCCATAAAACACAGTTTCATTAGATGACCTCTGACGTATGAGCAATGTAGTTTTAATGCTACAGAAACTGAAGCAGTTTTATCATGTTAAGTAATATAATGGCTCAGGCCCCTGGTCTCTGACGTTGTGTCTCCATTGAATTTGCTTTGATCTACTTTTCCCTTTTTAATTGAAAACTGTACTGCTGTCCAGTCTGGAAAGCTTGTCTTAACAAAACCCAGGGGCCTCAGCCGAGAAAGTCTTCAGCAGCTCAGTTTTTTGTTTTCAAGTTGTAGAGCTTGCAAATGCATGCATGCATGCAAATAGCATGTGCCCAGTGCTGGGGAAAGTTCCTTTCCAGAAGTAATCCATTACAAATTACAGTCACTTGTGTAAGAGACAACATCTTTAACAGTAATGAGAGGCTGGGGGAATCCAATTGTAACCATCATCAGTTACAGTGATTACAGATGTTTGCGGATAGTTTCTATGTAAAGTAATGCAACCCCTCTTGAAAGTAATTTTAACATCTTATTAAATGGAAAAAAGTCATCCTTCACACAAGTAATGTATAACTGTAATGGATTGCTTTTTAAATGTAACTGCCCCCCAACACTGCACGTGCATATCAGGGACAGGGGGACGTACTGTTGCAGCTTGGTGCACTGGGCTGTCCACTCCCTCTCCAGGTCAGAGATGATCCTGTCAGACCTGTCCTCCTCCCGCAGTGACCACAGGTCCTCGGCCTTCAGTGGCTTGCGGTAACCTTTCACCACCAGCCTGGATGGACAGAGGAAGGGCCAGTTACCACGGCGACTTTGACGAGGAAGCCAGTCCGTCAGCCAGTCTTCTCAACGTGAGTTATTTTTCAGGTACTTTTGTAAGTGTAGAAAATTAGATTCTTACTGAAGCTGAAAGTCTATGCAGAAGCTCAATCTAAAAGCACAGAGAGTGAAGTTGTTTCACCTCAGAAATAAGCCCAATGACAACAATGCTGTTGTCTCTTTGTAATCTGCTCACTGAATTGACTTTTAAACTACTGCAATCAATTCAGGTGGGCAGCTGCGTCAGCATGCGTAGGCTGCAAAGGAACACGTAATAGGTTTATTCAATGCTGAAAAGAGAAAAAGAAAGAAAACACAACGTTTTGGCTTCTTCTTCACCCGTGTTTCTTTTCTTCTCTTTTCAGCATATACAGTAGTAAACCTATTACTTGTTCCTACTGCAGTCAAGCTTGTTACGTAAAACTATGTGAATGAACTGAAAAAAACATATTGTCTTATGCAAAGTGGGAGGGGAGTCTGGCATTGCCAAGGAGAAAAAAAATATATAAATGAAAAATGTAAGGGCCAACAAAATTAGATTTTTACTGAAGGGGTTTTCCCAATTGCAATCGCGCCCCCTGATGAGGAAACCTCTGGGAATACATAGCTAGTCAATAGCCTCACCCAGCTATTACTGTAGATCTGGCCAAGGACACCAACAGGACTAGTTTTATCCTCTCTTTGGCAAAGGAGATGAGTGCATCCCATTAGTGAAGAAATTTGTAGAAACACAATAAAGACGATTTTGATTTTCTTACCCACTGAACCACCAGAAGAGGATCTTGGATAAGAAGGAGGCATCTTGCACGGGGCAAGGGTTCTGTGGGAGTTAAAAACAGCAGGTAAGAGATCTGCAATCTGCCGGATCAAATACAGAAGGCTCGTTTAAGTGACTTATTTTGTTTAAGGGCAGTAGTTTAAGCTTCATGAAATCACAAGAAATGAGCATTCTGAATTCACTGGGGCTTGTACCTTACTATTTAGAACGTGCCTCTCTGTGCCACAGTTGTGGAGTCAGTATTCGTGAGCTGTCGTTGAGCTCTGTGGGATGATAAAGCTGCCTTGTACTGGGTAATTAAATGTCTGAACAGAAACACACTCTCTGGCTCCTCTTGGCGAAAAGCAGATGGAGAGGGTGCTCTGAGGTCAGGGCTGAGCGGAAATCAGCAGTCACTGAGGTATGTGGCTAACAGCAGCCGTCTTTATTGAAAAACCTCGCCCCCTCACAGGAGCTCACGCTGGGATGCTGTGAGTAACTCTGCCCAGGATGTGAGGGAGACAGGCAGTGCATCAGGACAGGCCGCTGATGCAGGGTGTGCCTCTCACAAACCATCTCGCTGTCTGTCGCCTCAGCACTGCTGGAGCTGTCTGCCTGCGGAAAGCTACCCGCTACGGGCAGACCCCAGAGCCTGATTCTGGGGACTCTGCATGTGTGCTCGGGGCCAGAGGAGTAGGTCACGGCCGGTTTGGATCAAGCGTTCGTCCCGAAGTCGCCGACGATGTGACCTAAGCTGCAGGAGAGGGCAGGGCTGGGTGGGGCAAGAGGTGGCTCTTGCTTTATTTCCCCACTTTTAGAAAATGAGCTCAGCTCGAGCCGCTGAGAGGGAGCTCGCTCACAGCCAGCCCGTGGAGAATCATAGAGAGGCGCGGCTGAGGCTCTGGGCCTCATCCAAGAGCTTCTAGTGAGACCGCTGGATCGGCTGGGCAGCCTAGCCCCCCCCCCCAACTCCCACTGATACACTCAGACCTTTCTCACTGCCGTCACAGGAAACCTGTGCCAGCCAGGGTAGGAGGCTGGCACCGCAAGACAGGCCAGGCGAGAGGGAAAGAGAAAGTGGCGGCTCAAAATACACATGAGCAATAACAGGAAAATCATTATTATTTTTATAAAAGCCACACGCTTGCAGCTGTAGTCAGCTTGCTTTTAATGCCAGGGCATGCTACGGAGTAATAACATGTTGTAATTTTAAATTCCTGATATCCGACAACACGTGCAAGCTATATTTAAGTAAATATATTTTCTTCAGTACAGATTGGACTTTAATCGCATCCGCTGAGAACATCAGAGAGAGGATCATCAAACCTGAGAGCCCAACTTGGCCCAATGATCTAAGATCTCCTCTGGCTGTTTCTTGAATGAAGCCAAAGTATAGGTATCAGCTACTGTACATGACTGGGTAGCTTTTTCACACTCACTTTCGTCTTCTTCTTATTTACTACATAAATGATAAGTGATATCAAAGTTATATTTATTGGTAAGTTCCAGGCTCTTTCCGGATGCAGCTGCCTTATTTAAAGGAAGCTTTCCGAGCGTTCCAGGAGACCTGGAGTGATGGGATCTGCTTGCTTACCGGGACTTTGACAGGCCGACGGGTGTAAGGAGGCTGGTCGGAGAAGCAGGAGAGAAACAGCTGGGCCAGCTGCAGAGTGAAGTATGAGAAGAAGGCCAGGTAGCGCACAGCATCTGCAGAGAAACCCTGTGGCACAGAAAACACTGGCTTAGGACCGGAGCTCGTCCGCCCGGAGATCACCTCCGGGCTTACAGTTCAACTGGCTGTCCTACTGCGAGACAAAGCATCTCTTTCCTGCCACCTCCCATTTTCTTACACACAAGTGATTCCCAAGCCTAAGCAGCTAATCTAGGCTTTGAGGAAATAGGCGTCTTGGTAATCTAATAGTAACCAGCAGTCAGTTTCATGTCCTGATCATTCTCTGTGGAAAAGAGTGTTTCTAATTAACAGTGCAGAAACTGACCGCTGGCTGGCCGATGTACTGTATATCCTCGTGTTCCTGTGTAGCATCCTACAGTTCGGAAAGTCTTGATCAGAAGGAGGTTTTGTGTTCCAGCACACACTTAGATCATCTTTTGCTGAGGGACTTGGATAATAAGTGCTTGTTTTTCGAAACGGCTTGTCGCTGGTCGCATGCGCAGATTCTCAGTGCCAGGGGGAGGGGAAGTCCCTCAATTTGCACTTCAGGACACTGGCTCTTCACCCTCTTCAGAACTATGATTAGGAGTTGGCAGGCATTGTGTTAAAGATACGAAGGTCTGTTAGTAATAATGACCCTATGACAGCCTTCTCTGGTTCCTGTTCAGTCCGAAGAGGAACAGGTTCTTTAAACTCACAGCTTTATTATCCTGCCATCTCAAGCACAGAGCCTCTCCTCTAGTTCTAAGGTGGAATTTACAGATGACCCTTTAGCATGCAGTAGAGTTACTGTCAGTCAACACTGTGACTTGACAACCTTGGCCAAGCCCAGTATATGAAGGGCTCAAGAAAAAGAGCTGAGGAATTCTCTTTTACTGGAAATCCTAAAAATGTGACAGAATCCTACAACAATACTATAGTGTTGTAGTCTGCTGCAGTCGGGCACTGCTGATGTCATGTGACAAAAGCAAATTGGCATGAGTTCTTGTCAAAGCGTCAGATACTCCCAAGATCCCATTGAGTACTTCCTCGCCCTGACATCCACCCATTTCCCAGCATGCCCATTAGAACAGAAGTGACAACCTGAGTAGCATGGACAAGCTACCTGCCAGTCTAGCTACGGTACACTGGACCACAGATTTATTGTTGTGAATGTGGCACAGGATGTGTGCATGTCTCTTAGCAGTTTTGCACAGTACCAGGCCTATTCCTTTGGTGCCAGAGCACATGCTAACTTGAGATCCTGCAGTAAACATCTGCTCCATGCGGGGGTGGGGCAGTGGACCAAGGGGAGAGGAGGCCCTGTGGGAGGGGGCAGGGTGTGGGAAGAGCACTGAGGACAAACTTGCTGGAGCCTGAGCCTGAAAAACACTGGAGCTAGCTGGCAGGAAATATGGGTCAGATTCCTTAGGCTCATGTGGTTGTGTGAAGACCCCCTCAAGACCTAGAAGGAAGCATTCAGTCTTGTAAACATGACCCCGCTCAACTCAGCTACTTTTTTAGCCAGATGATTATAATGCACAGCAGTGCTGGGAGAATTGTGGTTTGTGCAAAACAAGATACCGCAGAAACTGACAGCTGTGCTATTTCTAATGCACTGCGGAGAATGGTGTGCATGGATGGACGGCTCAGTGCAAAACAGGATTGTTTCTATTTGCTGTTTTTATACAGGTAGAGGCGACTTGTAAGGCAGTAAAGAACAGAAGAATATAGGAGAGGTATTCATTGCACACAAGTAGTGGAGCAGTCATTTCACTCCTACAGCCAGAGTAATTAGCATCCGAACTTTCTGGAAAAATAAACATCTGTCTGCAATGTGTCTTTGGCCACTAGCAATCGTTGTTGCTGTATAATCGGTTTTGATCTAGAGCTGAAATGACGCCAAATATCAAATAACTCTAACCATGTTTCATGCATTCTAGGAAACAAGGAAGCAAGACACAGAGGTGGCCTGCTGAGACAGAGATGAACACAGATACCTCTTTCTGTGAATGGTGTACAGAAGTTAGGAAAACATGTATTTGTATGTTAAACTGCATTGCAGTTTAGAGCCGTGTCACTAAAGTCATTGTGGCAGTGACTGCGTTGGGTCTGGTTTTGAAGTAGCCCTCTAAGGACTGAAGGGAAAGCTTTGCAAATGTAACCTACATTTCATTAGAACAGCCACTTAGAAGAGGCTCTTAGGCATCTTGAAGAGAGCCTTCATGAAGGAGCTGAAGCCGATTGGCTACAGGGGTGACAACTCCTGAGCCCCCTTGCGCTTGTAGTGGTGGTCCCCAAGAAGAGCCCTATTTCAGCAACGTCAGCTGAGAGTCTGGGGAGAGCCGCGCTGAAGGTGGCAGTGTCCACACAGGGTCATCTCTGTGTAAGAGATTATGTCATTTTGGCCTTCCAGCATTCCCAGGCCAAGAGGAAGAAGCAGTGGTTCCTGGTTTGTGAGAGCCATGTCTGGCCACACACCACATTCACTATCTGCAGTCTCATCAACAGCATGGGAACGTCACGCTAGACACTATAAAAACACAAGCTCTTTTATATACATACGGATGCAGAAAATGTCTATTTTATACTGTGTCTGCCCGGGGCAGACCATGATTGCCATGTCTGTGAAGGAGTTGGAAGAAAATGAAGGGAAACTCCAGCCAGCAGACGATGGGACCTAACAGTGGCAGCTGTGTCATCTCACAGGAGATGTGGCCAGTGCTATCGGCAAGGGCATGGCAGCTGCCCTGAAGACACCGCCCTGCCAACACATCCTTTCAGCTCCAGAACAATTGAGTCACTGTCCAGGACAGCCATCGGCAGACAATGACACACATGCTAAGCATGCTGGGAAGATTTGAGGGTAAGAATGAAACATGAAGGAAACCAGTGCAGATCTGGGAACTACACGATGAGAAAAGCCTTCTGCCCTGATTGGATTACAACCGGTAGATCTGGACAAGATGCCTATGCTGATCTTGACTCAGAAGAAACCCAAGACTGAGACCTGTTAGCAACAGCTATCTTCGCCGCTTTCCTTGTTAAAACGAGCGAGATTCTTCACTACAAAGGAAGTAAGGGCCTTGCTCACCTCGTCGATGGCCAGCTGGATCTTGGCTCTCAGCGGCACCAGGGAGCACACCACGGCCAGCAGCCAGAACAGGAACAGGAAGGCCGAGGAGCGGCTGCCCCTGACCCGCTCAAATTGGATAATTAAGACCGCCAGCACCTGGGGAAAGATAGGATTCCATCACGGACAGCTCTGAGCACATACAGCTGCTCTTCAGCCTCTAAGAATCTCGACCCTTTAGAAGCTGTTTTCCTATCCCGGCAATTTCTGCTGAAATTCCTTCGTAAAAGGTCTCTTTAACATCTACTGTCAGGCAGTCGCGGACCAGATCCTGGAGCTGGGCTCCTCCCCCAGGGTTGCCTGGCTCTGCACACTGCAGGATTGGGTTGAAATGAGCTCCTCAAGCACTACATTTTGGGTTCCTAATAGCAAGATCAAAATCTAAGCGCTGCACCGGAGAGGGCATTTTCCCATCCAAAATGACTCATTTCATCCGAAATGAGCATTATATTCCCAGTATGTCAGCGTCTGGCCGGGAGAATCTTGGGAATCGCTGCGGAGCAGAGCATGTCCGAGAGTTTGGCTTTGTCGGGAACGGGGAGAATCAGGTGGGGGTGCCGCTCTGCCAGCAGGGCCAGTTACAGACTAACTGCACTCAGCGGCTTCTCTCCAGCCCTGAGTAATCAGAAAACGTTTCCGCTTTCTCACTGAGGCAGCAACCATACTGGAATTCACATCCCACTGTCTTATCCCACTTCCCTTTGTAAGCATCATCCAGGAATGCGCCTCCTCTGCCATTGGCCGGCAGTCTTTCCCGGCTGTCTCTATACCATGCATCGGGAATGAGCAAACCATGATGCAAAGAGCTATTTACATTGAAGCGCAGTTTCTATGTAATTACCGAGGATGGGCTGTGTTTGGAGTGAAGTAATGCACTTCATCCACCTACTGCTCTGAAGGGGGGAGGGGGGTCTTTTCCTTTACAGTGTCCCTCAGTGACGACCAAGACTTCACAGCAGCACGGCTGATCTGCTGAATGTACTCAGGGTGAGGGGTTTTATTGTGCATTTCTTTTGTCGGAACAGGCTTAGGTAATCAGTGCATTTTGACAGGCCATAAGCATGACGTTTCTTCACTCCTTACAGTGTGTGTTGAAGACAGATTGAACTGTTGGAGCTCTGTTTTTTTTTTTAATGTGCTAGTTGCTTTGGTTACACTTTAGTTTGTTGATTACTTTTTTAATAAACTAATGTGAGGAGATAATGGAGAGAAATAAAGATAAGCCATAAAGCCAAGATAGTATATATATAGATATACAAGAATAGTATATAAATATTAGAGAGGCGTTTAGTTACAAGCATGGTGCAACACGGCTCACTCTGTAGTCAGCCAGCAGGGATAGTATTTGTATTGAGTTATGGAGGTAAGATGCGTTTAATGATAAGTTATATTCTTTAATCTCCTCTGATAATAATTTATTGTTGTGTGAGTGCTGCTGCTCAGATTCTAGGAGCCTTGAGTTAAGGTGAAGTTGTTGTGGTGTGTTGTGCTCTCTTACAGGCCTTTCGCTAATTCTGAAAATATTCTGATCACGATCATGAGATTTTTTGTTTTGGCCCACTTTGGATTGCACCATCCATTTTCAAAAACCACTGAGTCCTATACAAGGCTGCGGTGAGCTGTAGCCTAATCCGACAGCATCCGCAGTTTTGCAATAAAATCAAAGAATGTGTTGAAGCTTGTTTTCAGGTTTTTTTGCGCGTTGTCAGACCACCATAAGCTGTCTGACGTCTGAACGATGGAAGGAAGAGCTCGGTCTTTTGACGCAGTGTCAAAGCCGTGGGTGTCAAAGTACTACACTGCTGCGTTTCTGGATGTGAACAACAAGATAGAAAAGCAGTCTGCCCCCACGAGGTGGTCTGGGAACGTTAAAAGCTCAGTGTTTCTCTCAAGAAGTGTCTCTTTGTGCCTGGGGCACGCTCTGGCTGGAGATGTTGACATTGGTGTCTGCGCTGACCACATGTGGGCAGGGTGTCTGAGTCTGGGAGGGCTGTCTGTGCGCAGGGGCTGTCTGACCTTGGTGGGGAACAGGGACTATTGATATAGGAGCGCGGTTGCGGGTCACTGCCAGACCTCCGGGCTCCCTCCCGTTCTCTATCTGTCTTAAATCGCCGAGGACTCTTCTGCCAAAGCAACGCCCCCTCTTCACCTTGACAGCACCTAACTGTTGACTACAGGGACTGACCTCACCTCTCGTGGGCAGCTCATCACTTCCTCTCTTTCTTCTTCGAGCGGGCAGGGTAAACAGGACAGCGTGAGAGCAGGGGAGCTGGGCTCCTAACTGGACGATTGTAGCCAAGTGCTTTTATCCATCTAGCCAGCTAATTAAATCCACTGCTGAGACCCCGTCTACACACTCAGTGTCAGACACCAGGATAAGCTCTGGCCTGATGAGCCTCTAGGCTTGACTTGTGTTCCGATTTTGGACTGTAGTTACGAAGGGGACATGACTTTTTGTATTACCCTCCTACAGGACACTTTACCAGAGTAAGTTACAGTATGTTGTAGCTTTGACACCTCCTATGGTTTCTCCATGCTTATGAAATGCATTCACTCTGCCCATGAGGAGGCCCGTTCTTCACCCTAATATCCCCAGCAGTGGGACCTGGCACACACTTCAGTTGCTTTGCACCAGGAAAAGCAGAAGAGAGGCAAAAGAGCAGGTTACCACAGTGAGGCTGCGGATGACGGGGCTGAGCAGGAACACCAGGTGCTGCTGGATCTCTCGGTTCCTCTCCAGCAGGATGTAGAAGAACTCCACAAAGCCGAAGGAGGCCAAGAGGAACCCCAGGACCTGCGGACAGCAGGGAGCAAGGGAGGGAGAGAGAGATGGAAAAATGAACACCTGGCTGTAGTCAGCCCACATCCTGCTCTGTTGGGAACATGGACTTTCATCGTTTCCCTGCTCTTCTCGTTTTTCCTCTCTTCCTGTGTCAGCTGCAGCGTTTTATAGGGCTGATCAGTAACAGAAAAACCGTTGCATTCCTTAAGTCCCGTAACTGACGAGGGAATCGGTTTTAAAAAAAACGAACAGGTTCTCAATATTCGACGTGCTCTGACGGGACATTTTGCGTCTGGCAGCTCTGTGCTGTGGTACACTGATATCTGTAGCAGCATCAAAGTCCAGCGCCCCTCTGGTGTGACTCACCATCTTGGCACAGCAGAGGCAGGAGACGCGAATGTACCCGCGGTCGTAGCAGTGCAGGTAGAGGCAGTAGAAGGGCGCGCAGACCCAGAGGTAGACACAGGGGACCCACACCAGCACCGTGTTCTGGAAGCACTGGGTCAGGTCCGGGTTGGGAGTGTACCAGGTCCGGTTCCAGTCCTGTGAAAGGACAGGCAGAGGTCAAAATGTGATCTGTTGCCTGTCAGCGGCACGGAAAGGCTTTTATTCCTGTTCCTTTTGGTAAAGATTTTGATTCTAAGCCTTTAGCCTGTTTTTCTTTTCAGGGAACATGAAAAACAAGCATGACTGACACTCCGGTGTTGAGAAATGTGGTCTGTGGACCCTACCGTCTGTTTGCTTTGCAGCAGGTACAGTATGAATCAACACATTTGCGGCCAGGTATTCTAGTCTTCTAATGATTTTTCTTGCTTAGAAAGCTGAGTCAGTATCAGAGATGATGGCTGATGGCCATCCGCCATGCGAAAACCTGTTTTCTGGAGAGTTTGTTTGATCAATGGCTTGATCTTTGCTTTAGCCAATGTGCAAATAGCCAATGTCTCTGAAAGACCAAGGAGGATTTTGTTTCTGATGAATCACTGGTGGCAGAAATGTTTTAAAAAGTTGTTGTTGCAGTTTCATCTGGGGAGGAAGTGGTTAATGGTGGGGCGCTGTGGCTAAGCTCATCCTCGCCGCTTTTGGGGCAGAGACTTGGGACATGAGTGGAACAACCACAATTCCTTCCAGCTGCTTCTCCGTTACACAACACCCCACCACTGCAGGCCCGGCAGCCCAAAACCACAGGTCCAGCCGAAGGTAGGTGAGGATTCGGAGTGCTTAGAGTGGCCCTGGGCAGAGCAGGCAAGCACCTTACATAAGCTGTTCTCCTCCTCCGCACAGCTCTGGGCCTTAATCTCAGTTAGGCCATAAGTTTGCCATGGGCTTTCTGTGGTGTCTGCTTTTCTGCATAGCACTGTTGGGGAGCATTAACACCTTACTGTTCACTTTTGACACACTCTGCGTTGATTGTGGCTGGGAGAGACCATAAAACAGCACACAGTCAACATACAGTACACCCACGAAAAAAAGTAAGGAAATAAAATACTCCTCTAAGTCCTCTGTTTTAGCGTGCCCTGTTTCTCCGCATCTACTGTTGCTGTGGTTATCATTGGGGTTTCGTTAGTGATGATCGGATTTTACAGGAGGCACCAGATAACCCTGTCCTGATCTTATGAAGCAAAAGGGAAAACGGTCCCAGAGAGTCAGGGTACAGCATAAAGGTGAATCTCTCATCAATTAAATTCATGTATGCAAAGCATTTGTTTCGTTTTACAACCCTACGTACTGTACTGTGTCTCACAAACGGGCAGTTGGTGCTCTCATGGCAGGCAATGTAAATGAGGCTGAGAAAATAGATACACCTCAGCAGAGATGAGCTACGGAGGAGCTGGAGGATGCATTACTGTCTTGTGCTTCTCCATGGAGCTAGGTTGCTGTCTAGGCTTGAAAACAGCTTGCAGTATAATCGTTGTTCACTCCCGCCAATTGCAGGGCAGTTGGAGTGGAGCGGAACCGCAGATTAAACATAGAAGTGGTAATGGTTTTAGTGGCTGCTCCAGAAACTCAGAAGGCCATGTTTGCGAGACGCAACCTCACTGCCCATGACTGCGTTTTTCTCTTATTATTCTGAGTTTTGTAAAGGCAAACACGGATGCACGCTTTTAAAGAACCAATAGGCTAAGAAACTAAAACGTGGGGAGGAATACTTGATCCCCTTAGTGGTTACAGAATAACTCTGGTCTAGAACGCACTTTCCTGAGTGGTGGCTAGAGTTTGCTCAGGTCACTCTGTGTCTTTGGAAGGCCTCCAGGTCTGACTAACTAGAGTGCAGACAACAGCATGATAAGTGAACAGTGGGACGTGTATTAATGCTGTTGTTACTTTGTTTCTCCTCAGGTGCATTCAGTTCCATCTGCTGAGTTGAAGGGGTGATTGAAAGAAAGCAAAACACAAAATGAAATCATATGTTTCTGCCAGAAATTCATCCTGTAAAAATATGTTATCTATATGTATTTATGTATTTTGGCAGCGCCTCAGCACCAGCTGAGGATGATGTTTACTGGAGGAGAAGATGCCCTTTGCACTGGGGAGCAGGGTTTGGAGCCACTAAGTACACAGCAGTCCTGGGCCAGACATTTGTGCTTAGCCCAGTGTCCTGGGGTTACTGGGTACAGTGCAAACCGATAGGTCTGGCAAGAAGTGTTTTGAGGGAGGCTGACCACACACCCAGTGCAGGCACGTGTCAAGGCGAGGGCAAGGACGCAGGGGTTTGCAGAGTACAAGGTTGGTGAGTTCAGAGTAGGTTAGGGTTTGTTGTTTCATTTTAAGCTGGAATGACACAACCCTGAAATGTGAATTGCAAGTATCTCCTTAACCTCTGCTGTTGGAGCTGAAGACACACTGACCAGATACTGGTTATGTTAAACAATTTAGGCATAATAATAATTCCTTACTCTTATATAGTGCTTTTCTGGACACTCTACTCAAAGAGCTTTACAGGTAATGGGGATCCCCTCCACCAGCACCAGTGTGCAGCCCCACCTGGATGATGCGATGGCAGCCATGGTGCACCAGTACGCTCCCCACACACCAGCTCTCAGTTGGGAGGAGAGCAGAGTCATAAAGCCCGTTCATAGATGGGGATTATTAGGAGGCCATGATGGGTAAAGGCCAGCGAGAAATTTGGCCAGGACATTGGGGGTAACACCCCTACTCTTTTCAAGAAACGCTTTGGGATTAGTTGGTTTTATGTCTCTGAAGGACGACACCTTTTTTACAGTATAGTGTTCCCATTGCTATACTGGGGTATTAGGACCCACAGAGGGTGAGCGCTCCCTGCTGGTCTCACTAACACAAAACTAAACCTTAGATTTTCCCAGGAGGTCTCCCATCCAGGTACTGGCCAGCCTCACACGGGGGGCATGTCTACTCAATCTCTGATGAATCTGGAACTGGGGGAGCACTGCATCTACACTGGCTAGGTTAGGCCCCCTGTGGCCCAAGGCATGATTACCTACAAGATGAAGTGCCTTTTCTTTTTTTCCAGCTGATTGCACGACACTCCAAAGCATTCATTTTAGTTCAGTTTTCAAAACCAAGACTGAACCCTGGAATGATGCTCTGTTCAGGATCAGGCATCTGCATCTTAGTAAGTGTGAACATTTGGAGCAAGCAGCCTCAGTGCTCCCTAGATCTTGTTCTTGACCCATTTGTAATCTGCTAATTCCAGTTTATAGAGAAATCCCACTTATTAGCATGATTATCCATGCATTTTTGAGGGCTTTAGTGCTGTTACAGCGGATTTTCCTGATCTTGTAGGCACAAGTGGTTGTATGATCTTGTGCCAAAACTTCAATGAAAGTGTGGAGAGACTCTCACGTCTAGACGGAGACTCTTCCATCAGAGACTCGCGTCTGTCTCAACTTGACGAGGACTCTTACTCATCCTCAGATACGCTGTTTATTTGCAAGAGTGAGCAGTGAGATACACCGCTCCAACGACAAGCACAAAGAACACCAAGAAATGGTGAACTGCAGTTCAATTTCATCATTTAGAAATTTTGCTCCTGCCATGAGAATATAATTCTTCCCTCACATCCTGTATGAAATATTATTATTAAGAAAAGTGGAGAAGAGACAATTGATATTTCATCTTGATAAGCAGATGTGATTACAGGCTGGCTCAGATTCTGTTGAAAAAGTCATTTTTACGCTGTGATGTAACTATGAAAGCATTATTTCTTAAGGGAAATCCAGGCCAGCAAAGTCTGTAATAGTTAGATGAGCTATCAGGAGTTGAGACTGAGGGTTGAGATCACTGAGATTTCTTAGATCTGCAGGATTTGACAGACTCTTCTTTTGATTATTGTTTGTTATTTAAGTGTAGATCTTTCTCACCAGAATTTCCTATTTAAATGAATGAGGAAATGCCATGGGTATCTTGAGATCGTTTAGGAGGCACTCTGTTCATTTGCAATCTGACACTATAGAATCTGAGTATATCATTATTGTTGATCTACCTAATTAATAAAATCTAGATTGGCTTGGCAGATTGGTTTTGAAAATCAGGAGACATTTAAATGCTTATCATTGTATTCTTTGGGCATTTTGTGGCTGATTTTCACTAGCTGAATTTTGTTTTGATGTCTCAATATCAGTTGAAAATAACGAAAATAAAAATGTGCTTTTGTTTCTGTTCAAATGAACAAAATTAAGGTTCAAGAGAAAGATTCCACATATGGATAAATGTGATCTACCAGATACAACCATAAAACATACTGTGTTTAATTTAATTAAATCCTTTATTTCAGATTAACCAGATTAGTCAACTGATGAAAAAACTCTCAGTTACATTTATTACCTGGCCAAGATGACTCATAGCTTAATAGCAAAAATATATATTTGCATACCACTTTAGTTTACACTAAAGATGAACAGGATACAGGTACCAGCAAAACTACACAAAACCCTACAGCTTTAGTCCTACATCTGCATAACTTTCTGCCCACATTTTTTCCTGTTTGGGCTCCTTCTTTAGCTTAAAATCAATTAATTGGATTTAATTATTTGCTGATCTGATTTGACAGAGACATGTAATTGACATTACAGTGGCAGTTATGTATCCCATCCCAGGCAGGAGTTAAGGATGGAGAATCCTGCAGCTCCTCTGTGAGTCTTGTGCACCTGACAGCGTGCACACCTGAACCTGACTTGAAGGCACATCTCCTAGTTCACAAGCTTTTCAAATTGAGCTATAAAATCAAAAAGAATCACTTTGAAAGGAGACCCTCATGCAGACTCGGTATATCAGCTTCCCTGTTTACTTGACTGCAGTGATCTCTCCCTCTCTCGGTCTTTGTGTCTCTGAATGCGCAGGGTGCTGCGGTCCAGACCGGTCCCGGGACACTCACCCATAGTGGGTCCAGCCCACTGAGGCTACAGAAGGCATCCATCCACACTCCGGTTGCTCCTTTCCTCTCCCGCGCGGCTCAGCAGTAAATCCTCTTCAGGCAGCGCAGTGCAGCGGCGTGTCTGTCCGGGTGTCTGTGTGTTGCTCAGGTTCAGTCTGCTCCAGCTCTCCAGCTCCTGCTGCAGTCCTCTTCTCTCTGAGAATAAATCCGTCAGACAGTGCTGTTTATGACTGCAGCCCTGCCAGCTTGGATCACCCCACTAGGTGGGTGGAAAGATCTGCTCTCTCTCTCTCCCCCCCCCCTCTCTCTCCTCCTTCTCTCTCTCCCTCTCCCTTCAGCGTCTGTGTCCTTCACTCTTTCTCACACACGCTCTCTCTTCTCTCCTCCCTCTTTCTCTACCTCTCTGTCTCTTTTCTCTCTCTCCCCCCTGACTCCTTCGTTGTGCTTCTTCAGTCACTTGTGACAGACCCGACTGTAGGGGAAACAACACATCACAACAGACAACAGAAACTCCCCTAAAGAAGTTCATAACCCACTGGTTCCCCCAAAACACTCCCTTCTCAGAATGCCAGCTCCTTTTCTCTGCCTCTTTCACATGACTGCAGGACTGCGCTGAAATAATTATTCACTACAGTGTGAGAAGTCTCTCAGAGAGGATGTTTTGGTTCTACAGAGAGGGTTTGACAGCTTGATAATGCGGGACAGGCCATGATACAGTTAATAATGAAAGCAAATATTGGAAATATTGTCGATTGCATTGTTCCAACAAGGCACTGGCATTTTAGCGCTACAAATCTCAATATATGCTTCCACGGTGGTGCATTGTAAGTATTGAAGATGCAAAATGTCCCAGAACGCCACAGGGAATTTATGCCCAGCAACCAAAGATTAAATCATATTGAAACAATCAGGTTGTGAGCTGGATCCCGCATGAGTTGTTGCTCTTTGTGGCTAGGGAGTGTGAAGATCATAAAGCTGTGTAATGATGGCCTCACGCCCGAGAGCCCCGGAGCGCGGCTGAGACACTGAGCTCGGGCCTGCCTGTGATGCTGCACTGTGCCGATGTCACTGGCGCTGCCGTGCGGAATGCAGCAAGTCTGTGATTTGTCTTTTGCGGAGCAATGGCTTGTGGGCTTGTGTGTTGGGGGGCTGCTTCTGGGAAATTAGCAAAAGATAACGTCAGGTCAGTGCTGGGTCAGCACAGAGGCTGCGGAGTGCTGCCGTTCCCGGATTCCTCCGATTTCCAGACAAAATAAATGTTCACTTATTATTTAACACAACAGTTGTTGTAATGAATAACCAGGCATTCACTGAATCGAGAGAAATAAGGCGGGAGTAATAACAGAGTACCTTGTGTCTTGCTGCAGGTACACAGGCGTGTTATTGGGGTGCTCCACACCTGGCGCCCCGCTGCGTGTTCCAGGGCTGTCCCGTCTGTGTGTTGAATTGTGTATCGTGCAATCTAACGTATCACTGACGATACCTGCTCAGCCGTTTGTGCCAGGGTTAGAGCTGCTCTCAATATCGGGACAGGTTCCCTTTTGCTGGGAGTCTCCAGACGCTCCAGGGCCCAGAGCAGGCAGAAGCGCAGGGAGAAATTGACGGGAATCGTGGAAAACATGACGCTGCCCAGCAATTGCAAAGGAAAACATGGAAAACAAACTGCAGGATGACAAAAATTTTACCACGGAAAAGTCACATAACAAAGAAAAGGGGGACTGCTATTTTAATAGGGAAAAAAGAGAATCTGGTCTTTTATGGGATTCCTTTCGTTCTGTTGTTTGTTTCTTTTTTGGCTTCCCCACCTTGGGCAGAAGCCTTATTGGACTTCTGCAAGCTAGATTCCGGGCGGAGACTCAGGCTTCCTCCTACAAAAACAGGAGTGTTGAGCGGAGCCTAGTGGTGCCTAGCTCTGGCCTTCCTCCTGGCGCCATGTGCTCAGAGGGCACCTCTGCCACCCCACGGGTATTTACAGTGCAGGCAGGGACTAGGTCACCTGTAGTCTGACAAGCTGTGTAGGAGCTGGACACCAGGGCTGGTCATCTGTGTCTTGCTGCAGGCAAACAGACACGTTATTGGGGTTCCCCGCACTTGCTGATAAATTCAGACCTCTGGCAGGGTGCAAGGGTCAGCTGAAGACGCTGCCCATGTTCAAAACGGAGGCGCCTCGCACCGATGCGGTCCAGCCCCCCGCAGACATGATCCCAGAGGGTAAGAAACCGAACCGGCTGAAGAAGTCAACCAGACCGCCCCCTGGAAAGGGCTTTGTTGATGGGCTGAACGAGCACTGGGAGCTTACTGAGAGCTACAGTGCACAACCTTGAAGGGGAAACGGAGCAGAAACATTCACGCTGGCTGCTGTCACTTTAAAAAGGTAACTTGTGTCCAGAGAATCTGCTGTAAGGGTAACTCAGGATCCCCCTGTAGAGCCTGAAGCAGAGACAAGAAAGTAAACAGCCATGTTTGACAGACTCGGTCATTCGCCTTTAGACTTCAGCATCTGTTTAGCTAGTCAAGAGGATTCGATTACAGCTTCTGTACGTTACAGAGAAATGATATATTTAGCTGTCAGGAGAATTCCCCCAAAACACAACACAAGATTATGAGGGCTGGTATATTACATATACAATATATCAAGAACACAGTTATAACAACAGCACTGCTCCCTAGAAAATGCTACTTTGAGTAAGAAAATAGGTCTGTTGTGTCTGCTGTTAGAGCGATTAAGGGGATAAATTTCCCTTAACTCTTTATGTACCCTTATGCTTGTACCTGTATTCATTTCTTTATGCATGTCTACAATAGAGGATGCAAACACAATCAGAAGATATTTTGTAAATAGCTATGGCTGAAGACTAGATAAGATACTGTGTAAAACTATACGTAATTATGTTTATATTAATTATCTAAGTATTTTCTCTGTCCGCAGACCAGACGTTACGAAAGACCACAAGAATTTGCTTCACAAGAGTGGAGGTCATTCCGCCCATCTAGTCCATTTGGCAGTTAGTAGCTAATTGATCTGAGGATCTCACTCAGCTGGTTCTTGAAAGAAGCCGGGCTGTGCTTTAACAGCATGGCTGGGTAGCTTGTTCCACGCTCCCACTTCCTGCTGTGTAAAGACTTGCCTCCTGTTGTCAGGCTTAAATGCACTTTAAGTGTCACACCAGCAGAAAACCCCACAATCTGGCCCAGTCAGAAGGGTCAAAGCACACGTACCTGTACAGTTAGTGGCACCTGAGACGTGGCGTTGTGAAAGCAGAAACACCTGTCAGGAAGGCAGACACTTCTATCTGTTAGTGGTCACTTTAAATCCAGGATTAAATGAAAAGCTTCTGAGCAGCAGCTCCCGAGCCTCATTATGTCTGGCCCTAAGTGCTGCAACAAGACGGAGTTTGGTGAAGGAAATCATTTGAAACTTCTCCTGCTCTCCCCTCCCCGGGTCACGATAACCGCTGGCACTGGCACAGCCCTGGCAAAAACAAGGCTGCCACAATTGGGGGCCACCAGCTCTATATAATAGCAGAGCCTCTTTTTATTTACTTTTGTAAATTGCTCAAAATTGATACTTAGGAACTGGATGCGTACACACAGTACGGGGGCACGTGTCTGTGTTTAGCAACCGCGCTGGGTTGGGAAACGGAGCAGGTTGTGTAAGCACCTCCGAGGGCAGGTCTGCCTTGCTGTCTGCTGGGATCTTTTGCTGAAGTAGTTTTCTTGCTTTTCACCAGCGGTCTTTGCTGACGGACCTTTCCCACCAAGCCACAGGAGCTGCTGTAGGCAGGATACACCCTGGATGGGACTCCAGTCTATCGCAGGGCAGACCGACACAAACACAGACGCTCACACGCTCACACGCTCACACCGGGGCCAATTTTACCCAGAAGCCAGTCGACTTGCCAGCATGTCTTTGGACTGTGGGAAGAAAGTGGAGCACCTGGTGGAGCCCATGCCAGCACAGGGAGAACGTGCAAACTTCGCGCTGACAGCTACCCCAGGTCCAGAATGGATCCCAGGGCCCCAGCTCTGCAAGGCAGCCGTGCTGACCACTGTGTCGCCTTGTCTCCCGGCTGTGTAGTCATCTGCATCGATTTCGATCAGCAGCTGAGCTCTACAGGAAAGTCAAACACACCATTCTTGACTCATAGAAATACCTGTGTGGTTTGTGCCCTTCTCACCTCTGGCGACAATCTCAGTCGCTCCCAGCTCAGTTACTCTGCTAGGTGTTGCGGAACCTGGTTTACCAGACTCTGGTGGGGGAATGAAACATCTGGTTGATGCCTTCATAAACCATGCTCCTACCTCAGCATAAAGCCGCGGTTTAAGTCAGATAATAGCTCTGTGTTTCATAAAACAGGAGGGCAAACCCTTCGCAAAAAAAAAAAACAACAACAACAACGCAGGGACCTGTTTACGCCAGAGGGAAAAGGAGAAAACGTTTGTGTCACAATGAAAAGCCTGGATCGTGGCCACTCTGGCTGTGGTTGGCTGGGCCCAGGGCTGGCAGCTACTTCAAACAGGGGGGCCGGAGCCCCAGCCAGCCACACTGGGGGAGTCGCAGCAGAGCAGCGGTTAACCAGCCCTGGTCACCTACACTTCCTCTGGCCTCGCAAAGGAGGAAAAACAGTCTAGTCAAAATAATGTAGTCATTTTGGGAACATACACACAAGCTGGGGATAAATATAGTAACGAAAGTGAGCGGCAGGGCCAAAATCGTTAGAAAGAGAAAAAAAAATGGTGCTGTATTATATGCTTTAAAACAAACAGCTTGAGCGGTGCGGCTTTGGGATCCCTGAAGCCAATTGTAAAGTGGATTCAGATGTGTCAGCCCCCTCAGGGTAACAGAAACGCTCTGTCTCTGTCTCTCTTTTTCTGTCTTCCTCCTTTTGGTCCCTCTTCTGTCCGCTTCCGATCTCCGAAGCTAAGCAGCGCTGGCCCTTGGTTAGTCCTGGGATGAGTGGCCTCCAGGAATTGCAGGCCAGGTTGCTGCTGTGGAGGTCCAGTTCTCCCCCTTCTGTCTCCGTTAGAAAAGACACAGCTGCTGTGCTCTGGAAGCCTTTTCAATGCGGCTCCTACTATTCTGTTTATCCAAAGTATGACATTGCAATCATTGCAAAAGAATGAGAAACCCGAGTGAAGACCAAGGCAAAGAACAGCAACACAGGGAAATCCTGTGTATAAAAGCATGAAAAACTATCATTCGCGACGAATGGCCAGTTCTGAAATAACGCTGAGTGAAAATATGGGGAGAAGAAAGATAGACCACAAACTGTCTGTGGCAGACATCCTTAGGGAACCTCTGCATTTTTCCTCTT